AAGGAATATTTTAATAAAATAGAAATATCAAATCGGTAAGCTGTGGCAAAAACCTTAAAATATAAAGCAATTAAATAAAATATAGTATAAAATTTATTATTAATCATAAAATAACATGCATAAAATAAAAAACATGTTTAATATAAACCAAGAAAGCCGGCCGTTGGCGCAAAATAAAATAAATTTTGTAAATGTATATTTGTATTTCTCATCACTAGAGGATCCAGGATTTAACTGGTGGGGCTTCAGCCCGAAAGCTTTTTTTTCACAAAAATAACGATTATTACTTTGGAAAAAAAGAAAGAAACTAACGAACTATATGAAATGGTCTTTAAGTGATTCCAATGGTAAGATTGCATTAAGCGATCTGAAGGGACTGGGTTTGGACGGCGAACGGTGGAGGGAGGTGTGTAACAAGCGATTGGTGGTGTCGGCATCGAACCTTCGGGTTCGCTAAGCCTTATTATTATTATTATTATTATTATATGTATATTTGTGTTTTTCATTGCCTGCAACCCTGAACCATATTATCTAAGTGATTTATTTACACTAAATCCTTAACTCATTGGTTTATCATTTCTTTTAGGAGGGGTTATCAGTTGGATGGTTCTAGGTTTGGTGTCAATTTATATTAATGTTTAAATATTAATTTTTATTTAAATAATTTCAATCATATTTGTATTCGATAACGATTTATGCATCATGTTTAGGTGTTATGTAAAAATTTATAAATTTATTACTTTAATATATTTGATTTTTTTTAAACAAATATGTAATGGAAACATTTTTTTTTTAAATCATTCACAAATTATTTTCTTTTAAAAAAAAATAAGAGAGTAAAGAAATTTTTATTTGTTTTATAAATTACTTTAATTTGAGGGTCTGGAGTTCCAGCCCGTATTGGTGGAGTAATAATTTAGTTTTTTTATATAAATAACCAACAAATTATTAATATTTTTTTAAAAATATTATAAAACTTTCCACAGTATTTTATATATTCATCAGTAAAATTTTACATATTTAAAACATGAATAAATAAGCAATGATGCATAATTTAAACAAACATATTTTGGTCTTGGTAGTTTTATATGCTGCTATTCATCCTTAAATATATAATTCTATACTATAATTAAATTTATATTTTTTATAAATATTAATTAATGATTCAAGATGAGCACATCTTTAATAAAGAGTATTCAGTATTTGTAAAAAGATGCGTTGATGGGAGGATAAAATCTAATATTAAGTTATGTATATCGAAGGAATTTTTTTTGGAGATTTGAATCATTTCGCCGATGGTATAGATTCATAAAACGTCTGCTAAGGATTAAAAATATTTATTTAGTTTTAAGTGAATTATTGATATGAAAATATTCTTCATAAGTTAACACGAGTTTATAATATTAATAATTTTTATATTAAAAATAAATTTCATGGACCGCCTGCTGTGTTATAGAGCGTTCGTGACGAGGCAATCAGACTGCGCGACAAGACCCGAAGAAAATTAGCCAAACTGGAGGCTAAAGTTGTGGCCGAAGGCATCGAGAGGGAGCAACAGCTACAAGAACTGAAGCAAGTATTCTTCTGACGGCAATGTCAGGATTTCTGATTTACCCGTCTTGGCACTTAATTTACTTTCATTAATTGCAAAAAAAAAAAAAATGTATATATATATATAAAATTAAGAACATTTATTCCAACATTAGTAGTCAAAAACACATACACAGTAGCTCACAGTGAAAATGATACACCTAGGTATTAATAGGAATTATTGAATAAATAAATAGTCCAATTTATATTACATTGAAAATAATAATTTATTGTAATCAATAAAACATCCTAGTTGTATGTTCTTTTTCTTGTTCTTATGTTATGTAATGATTTATGTTCTTTTCTTACGTTCTGTTTCTTGGTGTGGGGTGTATGGCGGCTTCGGTTTAGAAAATATTCACTATATTGTGGAAATATTCACATGGTATATTGAATAAACATGTTTACATTTTGTGAAGAAACTTGAAATAAATTGCGGAAAATCTAGGAATAGAAAAGAAATTTAGTTTTTATCCAGATAATGATCCTAAACACTCTGCTATGTTAGTTGAGCAAAGACTATTTTTATAGCTGTCACAAAGTTATAAAAACTGCACCATAGTCACCAGATCTTAATATGATAGAACACCGGTGGACGAAATTGGAAGTAGAATTATAAAATAATTTATAGCAAAGAAGAATTTAAATATCTCCACTAGCGGATCCAGAATTTATTTTTGGGGGGAGGACTTCAGCCCGAAACCTTTTTTTTTCATAAAAATGACGATAATTACTTTGGAAAAAAAGAAAGAAACTAAATATCTATATGAAATGGTGTTTAAGTGATTCCTTAAGTCCTTTAAAATGTAATTACACGAACAATAATACTTTAAGATATAATTTTTTAATATATTTTTCCATAAAACATGGTTATATTTTACCATTTTGGAGGGGGCTTCAGCCCGAAAGCCCCCTCCCCCCCGTAGATCCGCCCGTAAATATCTCAGTTATTATAACAGGCTAAGCCCGGAATTCACCAAAACATTGTTCGACTCCATTAAAAACAGACTGAAAGGAGTGGTAGAAAATAATACCTCGGCTAGAAACTATTGAACTAAATTAATAGTATATAAAAGTTAATAAGAAGTGAGGTGAGGTGTATCATTTTGACTGAGGTAAAATTTTATTTTAAATAAACACAGTTGAATATTTTATAGTCTGTGGTACAGACCCCTTTTAATTGAATTATTAACATCCGCTTGAAACTTTATAAATAGTTTCATCTCATCGTAACCTACAACTATTTTATTTACGAAAACTCTTGAAATTGGGGCTTTTTCAGTCTGGCGAGGTGCATACTTTGTCTATTTATTTAGCTATTAAAAACTCGTAAATACAAATTTGCTTTCTACTTAGATGATAAGATAATTTGATCATAATGTCGATAAAAAATGTGGCCTTCAAAAATATTGAGCCGTTTGGTGTGACCTACACCCCCAAATTGTCAAAACAAAAAGGTTATTTAGGCCAAACGGCACAATATTTTTGTAAGCTCCCTTTTTTTATCGATTTTGTGATAAAATTATCTTACGATCCAGGCGGAAATCAAATGGGTATTTACAAGTTTTCAGTATCTATTTAAATAGACAAAGTTTGCCGACCTCTAGATTGATATGAAGTTAACAGCGGGATGTTAATAATTCGATAAAAATTTGTTTGTACCACGGATTATTAGTTTTATTGAGTTTGTACGTATTTTAATTACGATTATAAATATATTTGTTGAAGAGTTTCTGGTTTAATTTGTTTACTGTAGCCATTTAAGTATTTTCTTTTAATTTTTCTAAGGGGTGTATCAATTTCACTGTGAGCCACTGTATGTATATAATGCCGACCTTAAGGCAGGACAATCCCGCCATTAATCGAGAATTAAAAAAAAATGTAAAACGTAAGAGAATAATTAATTTTAGCCTATTAATAAAGTAACTGAATTAGAGACAACATACCGAATGAAACAAAATGTAGAGCGAGGGGAGCTTTCGCCCTGAAACCTCCAATCAATAACGCATCATTAAAAAAAAACATCATTAACGTTCTCGAGTATAGCGACGCCAGTTCAAATCAAGCATGGTCGGTTTGACATTTATTTCGTGGCGGACCCACGGAATGAATCTATACCTTCACACTCTGGTTAGAATAGTAGATCTGTAACCTCGCGTAAGCCAGAAATGAAGAAATAATTGAAAATGAAGTAAAATCGACTTAAAACAATTATATATATAAAAACAAAAATTATGTTTAAAAGCACTATTGTTTCTTTAATGACAATCTTTTTCTCTTTTATTTTCAACAAATCTTCAAGTATTGCATAATCATTATTTTATATATTTTCTTTCTTTATCTTCCATAGTAACCAGTCACTAAAAAAAAAACTCCAAAATGAAATCCTAAATCCGCTATCATCGATTTTTAAAAGAAGTTATTTTTAAAATAACTGAATTTAATTTACACCAATGCTTTGAAAATGTTGATAACAAGTCGCTATTGATAGTAACAAACAATGACTAAAATGCTGTTACATTTTTTTTAATAACTATGTTCTGGAGACATTTTGGTGCAAATCTATTTGGCTTATATCAAATAAGTTGTTTCCAAAGATTGTAAATTGGTTTATCAAAATATGAATTTTTGTTCATAAAATTAGCTAATTTAATAATTAAGAAAATTCAGAATGAATATTTCTAAAATATATTTCATATTTCGTTCTCTTATCGTGAGTTTAATCCTTAATAAGTTAAAAACTGTTTAAAACAGAAGAACTGAAGTTGCGTTTAGACATTTCATTAACTATGAGAAATACACTTATCTAACTTAACTAACAGCGACACTGTTACTAAACCAAGCTATTTATTTTATTTCACTTGATACAAACAGAAAATGGAAAATATAAAATAGAATAAAAGAAATCATAATGATAAAACCATTTATATATTTGTTTGTCTTGAAGTTTGAGAAATGTATAAACGCACCTTTAAACTTGATTGTAATCTACACTGGTCTTATGGGCGCCAACCGATTCATAAGGCCGTGTTTTTTTCATAAGGAGACGCTATCATTATAACATGATTTTAAACGTTATAAAATAAAACTACGTTTTATTAATAAAAGAAACATAAGGATATGAATATATAAATATATGAACTTTTGAATATGATGAAAGAATATTTAAATTTATAAGAATAAACATTTAACATTATTAAAATGCAAAATTAGCAGTAATTAATAAACATATGGATATTTTTGGTATTAAAATATATTGAATTCTATAATTTATATACAATGGTTTAACTAAGACAGTTTAAAATAAAATAACTTTAAAAAATAATGAATTTAGTTATTCTTTCAAATAATTTATAAGAATTCATCATTTTCTGTTCATATTGATATATTAAGTGTACAGATTGGTATTAATGCATAACATTAGGTAACTCGTTTTTCGATGTATATATATATACCTTTACATATATAGTGTAGAATAGAACTATTATAATACGTATTTCTTACCTTGTACTTAAATTGAGGTTCTAAGAAGTCTGGTTCTTGATTCTTCATCAAGATATTCATGCAATTTATAAAAGTGAGGACAGAAACATCTTTTTTATAACACAAACCTACTCAAAAACTAATAACCTTCCCGATAAAATGATAAAAAGAACTCCACTAAACTAAATAATGTTAAGAAAAAGGCACAACACAATTGAAACCAGTTAAGACTAGCAAATTGAATTATAGATCGCGCCTGATTGGCTCTGTCGTGGCCGTGCCGCTAACAGTTCCAGTGTTGCCTCTACAGCTCTAAAACATTAAAATAAAAAAGTAAACTAAAAAGTATTTTTTTCTCTATATTCTGATAATAATTCATTAGTTTTAAAAACAATCATTTTTGTAATATCGCTTAATTTTTATTGAATTATTTCTCTATTGTACGTTGTTTTTCTGTTTTATGTTCAGTGACAAAAGTAGCATTAAAAACCACAAATTTGAAACGAATAACATTACTTTTAAATTAAGAGATAAGGAATTCTACGGATACATTGTTATCAATATATATATAGTTAGAAAATTAAAACGGTGAGGGCTTTATATTTTTGGTACTCAAGCAATCCCTCCTCCCCCTATTCTCAAAAATTAAAATAATTTAAGAGGAGAAAATGAGTCATTGTTTAAAAATTCATATTTGAATTGAATTGCATCCAATACATCTCTAATTGAGTTCCTTCATTAATATACCAAAGTAATAATCACCCCTCATTAACATGATACTCAGAGGATTAATGGGGTCCTAGTAACCCAACCTATCATCCATGCCTACTTGCCAATATTAATGTTACACAGCACTGATTTTTTTTTTTTTTTTTTTGTTTCATTATAAATCCAAAATATTATGTTTGTTTTTATTCCATCTAAAAGTCTAACAAAAATAAGTTCAAACTCGACCATATACGAGGATAAAAGTACACAATTAATTGAAATGAACATACATTTTTTAATCCTCGAATAACCCATGTACCTTTCTGTATAACCAACATAACCTTCCATTGATATCCTGACCTTAATATCCTATTGAACTAATACTTCACAAGTTTTCCAAATTTCAGCAGAACCTTACTCACCAAATCCTGTAGCACAATTCTAGTCTACATTCGTCTATCACTATAAGCCTCCCCGAAGGTAATGGCTATGGTCCCACGACCTTTTATAAATAAGGTGTACATATTTATATACTGTGTAAGAAAAAAATGATAGTAGTACAGAGGGGGAATGGGTAGGTTTCAGTATTCGCCATCGGCCACAATAAGGGAGATAGTATGATGGATATTAGACCTCCGTTAATCATCCAAGTATCATACCAAAGCAAAAGAAAACCTTTGTGTCATAAAAATTGCAATTTGACAAAGAAGAACCTGTTCTAGTTACTGAATAACCGTTTTTTTGTGTGTTACGAGTCAGAATCGTATATTCAAAATAATTAGCCAGTAAAATATTATTACATTGTTGTTACCAAATAAATTGTATTTCTTGTCTATGGGGTACTCAGGAGGAAGGTGGAAGATGGACGAGCCTACTTGGAAAAAGTTGAAAGGAGTCTTGTACCCACCAACAAGCTACCTCAGCAGGATTCCGGTGAGACAGACGAGAACGGAGTCACCGTCGAACAGCAGATGAGGGAGGCACTGCAGGCCAAGCTACAGAAGTTAAAAGAAGTTACTGGTAAGCAACTAGAACCTTTCATATATAAGGTAACAGGGTTTATTATTTGTTAAAACGTCGAATTAATAGACTTTTGATGAGTTTATGTAAACCTGCCCAGCCCAATATGGAGTTTTCTCTCTATTTTTTTATTTTAAGTAAATCGATATTTCAGGTGCTAAAGACGAGGAAGATATCATAGAAAAACTGAAGTCGCAAAGAATGACGAAAGAGAGATTACTCAATTTAAAGCAAAGCATCGAAAATGAAAAGAAGAAACTGGAATTAAAGAAAGAACAACTAGAGGCCGAACTCGAAGCCGTGAAGTTTTCTGAAGTCAAAGAAAAAGAACAGTATTTTTTTTTAATATTCTATTTAGTATTAATTTAAAGTAAAAATTAGTATATTATAAAGAAAATGATAAACAAAAATATACTAGATATGAATCCGTGGACTTCTGTTGAAGTACCAAAAGGTAATGATAATTACTTGGATTTTGAGTTGTATATTGGTAAGTATTTTAGAAAATAATAAAACCATACTCACTACACGGCCTTTTGAATTAGTAGACATCTGGCAATACCATTATCTTTTCTTTTTGTTTTCTCTTTGATTTATAGATGTATATCGTTTGCCGCTTTACCCAGCCTTCTCAATCGCTGCCTATCTTGAGCAAAGATATCTTTCCAGATATCTGCATGCAGCTCTGCAGCTTCTTCGTTGGTTCGATCTATCCATCTCGTTTTTGGCCTTTCATCTGTTCTCTTATCTACTATTGAGGTATTCATTGTTGTGTAGAGGCTTTCTGATAAATTGCTTCTTCTAGTAGTATCATAAAATAGTGATTGATCAATTTCTGTAAGCAGTTCTTTATTGGTACTTCGCTGGGTTAGTGCTCTGATCCCTACAGTTATTGTGCGTTTTTTTTTTTGTTTTTTTTTAAATTCTTCTTTCTAGAATAATGGTTAATGTCCAGTGTAGTAATCGTATATTGGCTTTATCATAACATTACAAACCCTTACTTTGTGATTTCAAGACATTTTTCGAGATTTCAATAGCTTTGAAAGAGAGAACAAAGCGCCATTTTCGGCTTATTGTATTCTTCTTTATACATATTTTATCCAAAACGAATATAACTTAAATTAGGATTATGTAGTAACAACTTGTAACAATAGGAACAACATTAATTGTAACATTTTTTTTTCTCTCCATCACTAATTTAATAAACTTCCTCATTTCTTAGCGAAAATTTCTTTTTGTAGTCATTCAGATAAAGAGATCCTCTATAAAAATAGGTTATAACACTAGGTACTACTGAATTATGAATTTAACCCTATAAGATTCTATGGACGCATAGTTTCAAATTTATTGATCTTATAGTTATTTCTGTTTTGTTTTTTAATTTTCAGCTATGAAAAGGGTTGTTTCTATAGATAATGATGGGGGATCTTTAACAAGATTAATACTTTCCCTCCTCAAGTTCAAGTTGTATTATTTTCTTGACTAGGTTGTACAGACTGTTTTAAAATAAGTCTACTTCTGTTTCTTGGCAACGCTAAATAACTTGAGGTTTCAGATTATAGCATGTACATAAAATTTATAAGCAATGAAAAAGGGTTTCACTGGAAAATATGACAAATTACTTGAAAAATCCCTTAATGAACGCCGTGAACTGCTGCATTTCAGGAATGAAGAAGAATACGAGAGGAACGAGAGAGCTCTTAAAGAAGCATTAGAAGAGATGGAAGAAGCGAGGAAGAAATACACCAAAGAGAAACTACAACTCGGAGATCTCAAAGAACAAGTAAAGGAACTGTGTGTCAGTCTACAGGTGAGTCACTTCTTGTATTTGTTTAAAATCATTCCTCATAACCCAAATTTATACCCTTAATAATGAAAAAAAAATGAAGAATTAACATAATTTTCGTTATAGCACAGCTGGGTGTAAAAACTAGATATCTAGTAACGTTATTGTTTTGTTATTTAACCTTAAAAGATATGTGTGAGAGTTATCATTAGCGAATCCTCAGCTAAATTTGTGTCCCTTCATTAAATATAATTCATCATAACTATGTAGACTCTTTTTGTGCCTTTCCAGCGATGGATTTTGGAGAAAAGAAAGGGAATTTTACGGAGAATTGGGGGATGCTAATTTCAAAACATAAAACCTTACTACGATTATAATAAAAGAGATTGAAAAAATGGGAGGTTTCACAACTCCGTGTGTTTCAAAGTTAACGAATACAGACGGAATAACTCTCTGACGTACCGTCGCTTTAAGATACTATTTTGAATAATATCTCATTATAAAGAGGAAGAAATGCTGAACATTTCACTCGGTTACAGTATTCAGGTCCAGTTTTTAGTTTCTGAAATATTTTAATCCATATCTTCAATAAAACTCGTTATCAGTTGGTTTTCAACAATATTTTTCCCTTTTCGCATTCCTAACACGACGTTGCGTTGAGGTACAAATTTGAATAATAGCCCATTACAGAGAGGATGAAATGCTGAACATTTACTTCGCTTACAGCATTCAGGTCCGCATTCTAATTTCTGAGATATTTTAATCCATATGTTCAACCAAACTCGTCCCTTTTTTTCTTTTTTTTGCCATGCTAACGTTAAGATACAATTTTGAATAATAGCTCATTACAAAGAAGATAAAATTCTAAACATTCGCCTCACTTATAGTATCCAGGTACGGTTTTTAGTTTCCGAGATATTTTAATCCAAATACAAAAACACTTCAAAAATTTATTGGTGTGCTTAAAGTAAAAAAGAACCCGTGATTCTTGTCGAGAGCCTCTAAGGTGCAATTGTTTTAATGGGTTGCTTATTACATGTTTGGACTTTGGTTCGTCTTTGACGAACTAAAAATCTATTGAAAAGGAATGTAGAGGACAATAATCCTGATAATATCTTGGGAACCTGGCAAATAATAAAACAAATTACATGTGAACATGTTTTAATTTACTTGGTTTAATATGGTCATAAAGGAGATACCGTTCTTTTTACCTCTGACTTCTATCCCCCATACTTAATGAGCTAGAGAACTAAACAAACAAACAATATTCCTTCTGCTCCGTCTTAACAGGTCTCAACGAGTTCAATATTACAAGAATAAGTTTACGATTAACTGAGGTTATGATGCTCAACTGAAGAGATAAGGGATGCCCAGAAGAGGGTTTCATGGCGCAACTTCAAAATTTTTTAGGGTGGCATATTTTGACGGAATTTTGAATTTTTGAGGGGGGGGGCACATTTTGACGAGATCATGAATTTTCGGATTGAAAAGTTTCAATCCTCAAAGGCAATACGAGGAACAAATCGTAGCAAGTGTAACTGTATATTATCTACGTTACTTTTATTTCTAGTGTTTTCAAGAAGAGGAAAGCAATAAAATAGCTTGGAGAGGGTTGGGGGAGGTTCATATGCCCTTGCTGGAGATAAGAATCCCTGGAAGAGACATATTTAAGTAAGAGAGCCAAACTATAACTTCAACGAATTCGTTATAAAGTAAGGAACTTCATCAATTGTCTTTGTTAAATAGATTTCCTTGATAATAACATATGGATTATACGAATAATATCACGTATACTTCGAATGTGTTTAAAGATATTAAGGCGTGACTATTCCAAAAATATCAAATTCCTATATGGAATTTTTATAATGGAGTTTTAACATTTGTAGTATGAGGAATCGATAATGGAATCGTAAATCTCGAAGATAGTAAATATATTTGTGTATAATTCTTTCTGAATCTGTTTTCTCATTCAGAGTACAATAGCCTGCTTTCTGGTCGCCAAAGCAATTGTGATCAGATGCGTGGGTTCTGCCCCGTAAATAGCCTTTGATAAACGACTCGAGCGAAAACAACTTGTATAAACGTTCGATATATCATGAAGGAAAGGTCAGAATAAGGGCCACGCTCAATGGTTGAATGGGCCATATATACGCCAAGGCCAACTAAATACTGCCTACACGGATTTATATACTGCCGCAGAATATTTTGTTGAATGGTGGTTGTATTGTCTCAGCGGTTCTTGAACTCATTAGACAGCAACAAACTCCAACTAATTATACCAAATGCATCGTTACTCTCTGTCAGAGGTTTTTGCTAAAGTAGTTATCTCTGAACCATCGGAACAAATCACCTCCCTTCAATGCACCTCTTATTCAGGGTCAGAATATACCTCACATACAAGTTCCTGAATCCATCGCTGAGTTCATCGATGGAATTGGATCTGTCTCTAAAACGATAACATCCATGAGTTCAGTGCTGAATTTAGGAACTTATCCATTATGAATGTACTTATCAACATTTTCAAAGAAGTTATCAGCACAGGCAGATCTACGGAGGGGGCTTTCGGGCTGAAGCTCCCCCCCCCCCCAAAATGGTAAAATATTACCATGTTTTACAGAAAAAAATATTAAATACTATCTCTTAAAGTATTCTTGTTCTTGTAATTACATTTAATAGGACTTCAAGAACCACTTATACACCATTTCATCATAGGTAGTTAATTTCTTTCTTTTTTTATATAATTAATTATTGTTATATGTATATGAAAAAAAATCTTTCGGGCTGAGCCCCCCAAAATTAAATCCTGGATCCGCTAGTGGTTATCAGTATATATTCATGTTTTACTGGGTTGCTATCTAATTGTTTACGTTAATAAACCTATGTTATTGGGTATCTTACACACACACACTTATATATATATATATATATATATATATATATATATATATATATGGTGTGGTGATTTTACCGTCGTCGCCTAACGAAATGTTTAAGCTCACAGGCGGATCTACGAGGGGGGGGGGGCTTTCGGGCTGAAAATGGTAAAATATTTACAGAAAAAAATATTAAAAACTATCTCTTAAAGTATTCTTGTTCGTTTAATTTCATTTAATAGAACTTCAGGAACCACTTAAATACCATTTCATGTAGGTAGTTAATTTCCTTTTTTTTCCAAATTATTTTTATGAATATTTATGAAAAAAAAAATCTCTGGGGCTGAAGTCCCCTCCCTCAGAATTAAATCCTGGATCCGCTAGTGTTTAAGCTTACACATAATTGTTTTCAAAGGGAAAACATTGTAAGATATTAAAAATATGAAAATCACAGAGGAGTTATTACATGTAACCATTAATATAGTTTATATTATTCTTTTTAATTACAGAACAAATGGGGCTGTTTTATAGGTGAGTCGCTGGGGCCATGAAAAGAAAAAAATAAAGGTAGCGTAAAAGTGTAAGATAGAGATTCGAAATTCTATCGGTGTGAATGCTAAGGTAAACAGAAATCTCAAATATGAGAAAATTGATCACTGGTGGATCTGGTGGATTTAGTGGATAAACTACTAAATGTTCATTGCTTCAGTGTTTATTCGACGTTTCGATCCCATTTTTTTTTTAAAGTTATAATGGAACCATTTTCAAACTTTTAAAATAGTGCCTCGATACCTCAGGCCAGGGGCACACCGAAAGTCTCAGCACCATCCACCCATACACATATACTAGTAGCTTAATATATGTGCTGGTGGATAGTGCTGAGACTGTCAGTGTGTCTCTGACCTGAGGTGACAAAGCACTATTTAAAAACTTTGAAGAGTATCCCATTGTTAACTTAAAAAAAAAAAAACAGGATCGAATAAACACAGAAGCAATGAACATTTAGTAGTTTATTTAATAATTAATAAGTTACCCAATTCCCAATTAAATAATTATGTTCAAATTTAATACTCAAAGGTTGATCAAAGAAAAGTGAGAGTATATATATATATATATATATATATATATATATATATATATATACTTACATTATATATATATATTACATTATATATATATATATATAATGATTCAAACATTCAGTTGTTATTAGATGGATTAAAAAGATTTAAATTATTGGTTAACTCTGATTGGTATGACATTCAATTCTTCTATAATACAAGTTTCAAGTTACACTAAACACATTTCATTAAAAGACTATTATGTACATTGTTGTTGATGTTAAAACTGATCAACTTCTGTAGCCTGTAAATGAAGAGAAACTGCCAGACAGCGATGATGACGTTTTCCTAGATGAAGAGGACAATACTTACTTGGACGATCTCATCAAAGTGACAAAGTCCAAGTTCAACCAAATGATCCAGACAATGGAAGAACTTGAATTGCAATTCGCTATTGAAGAGCCGCTATCAAGCTTATATGTAAGGATTTTATATTATTATGGTAAAATAATACAATTAATCATTGTTTTGTATATCTGAATTAATTCACATTTATCTTTCACGACTAAAAAAAAAATAATTCCTGAGCAGCAGAATCCCTAGATCTCCCAAGCATTACATTTTCTGTCCAAATAACTTGCTGCATCAGTAATATTTTAAATATATATATATAATTTTTTTTCTCTTCTTTCCTTCTAGGCAATTTTCTAAATATTTCTCTCATATTTACAATTGGGATTCAATCTTAAACATTTTAAGTACAACCGAATCAACAATAAATTTTTTTCAACATATAACTTTGAGTAAAAACTTAAATCAACTTTTAGAAATAAATACTTACAGATGCAAATAATAATCGAACATGCCTGCAGTTACCCATAAATTAATTTATAGAATTTCAAGGGTCTTTAATTTTATTGTGGTTTAAGATTATATTTTGGGAAAAGTTGAATAAATCAACCATATTTTCATTTATATACGGATATAAATTCACATAAAAATGAAAACAAATAGTTGCCTATTTTAACTTATCTTTTATAATTATTATAACTATATTTAAATAATTTTTAAAATCGAACTTAAAAAAAAAAAAAAATATATATATATATAGGATGTCCCAAAATTAATGCAAGATTTAAATTAAATACAAAACACAGTTCTTTCTTCTTTTGTTTCCTTTTTATTTGACAATTTAACAGCTGATAGTTTAGGGTAAACAAAAATGGAACGCGAACAATCTGTTTTCATTGTTAAAAAATAATGAAAGTCTTGTGGCCACAGTTCACAAATTTTGGACAAAATAAGGTCAAAATAGTGATTTGACTTCATTAACTGTGAAGAGAGTAGTTGAGAAGACTGAATCAAATGGTGATGTTAAACACTCAGTGATGTTCACCAATATTTTAAAAATAATGCAAGTCTTGCGGCCATTTGCCTTGCTTCAATATTGACACTTTAGCGGTTTGTTTTTGGACGACCGATGTTTTTCAAAATCACCTATTGATCCAGTCTGTTATACTTTTTCAACCACTCTCTTCACAGTTGATAAAGTTAAATTTTCAAACTGTTACCGCAAGACTTTCATTATTTTAAAAATATTTTTAAACAATGAAAACACATTGTTCGCTGGTATAACATTCAATTTTTATTAACCCTAAAATATCAGCTGTTAAATTGAAAAATAAAAAGGAAATAAAATATGAAAGAACTGTTTTTTATTTAATTTAAATCTTTTGTTAATTTTGGGACACCCTATACAAATAAATTTAAATCACCATGCGACTGAAATAACTTTTACTTTAATCACAGCTTCATCATTGTTAAATATTATATGAAGTGCCTTCCCTCTCACAAAAATAAATAAATAAGATTTGGTTAAAAATTTAACTTCTAAAATGAATTCAACCACAAATCTCTAACACTTTCAGCTGGATACGGGACTGATGGAGGAGGTGGTGGAAGGGAGGAAGAGTGAAGACAAGGAAGGAGAAAAAACAGCTGAAGACTTACCAGATGTGCCATCGAGGGAGCACATTAAAAGACACTCGCAGGTGATGGCTGAAGCTCAAGGCAAGCGGAAGGGGTATCCCAAATAGAGGATGACTTCAGGCATATATTCTTCCAAATGACATCCTACATAGCTTTCGGTGGTAAAGAAACTGTTAATTATATTGATAACAGCTCAAACATTGTACACTTTTGTAATAACTTTACAACAAAATAAAATGTCAGAATTCATTGATAAAAGAAGTTGGTTGCTTTTAATATTTAGTTCAATATTTTAAAAATTCTTTTCCATTAAGTTATAAAATATTTATTTTGATTTCAGCAATAATATTTCAAAACTATTTCAATGTAACCATACAACTGCTGTATTAATATGTTTTACTTATTAATACTTTAGTTGTTTTTTTTTAAACAATACTCTTAAAAATTAACATCAGTGTCTTTCAATCGCTATATAAAAAATATTTCCACTACATTACTTTATGATTTAAGCAGTGCATTATTTTATATCTATATAAATGGTTTACTAATTGTTATTGGTTTCTGAAGACTTCATTTAGAAGTTTTGACCGTTATTTTATGAAAAGAACTTACTATTTTTGTAATTAAATGTTTCTTATGTAATGTTCTAATATTATTTAAGCCATAAAAAAGTTTTACCACTGAAAATAACATTATTGTAACAGTCTAATGTATTACTTTATTTATATCTCATTAGGCAGTGGGGTAGTGCAGCCTGGGTTTGAATCAAGGTGATGACAGGTATTTATCTATTTTTTCATCAGCGGTGGATGACCCTGGAGTCGGAAGAACCTCCTAGGGTACACCCAACCACTATATAGTGGGTAATCTTAATTAAATTGGTAAAGAGAAAAAACCTGGCATTTGAGTGTGATCTTGGTCAAATCACCTCATTGCACAACCGCTGACCAAGAAACCGAACTTCCTTACATAATACTGAACCCAAGACTCTTCATGAGTAGCAGGTTTTTTTTTTATAACACATTAATTTTTTTTTAAATCAATGACAGGCTAAATTTGATTTTCTTTAACAGTTTTGTAGATTATTTCATAGTTTGGGTTTATATCTACGGATTACTGAATAAAATGGACATGTCACTTTTTTGAATAGTCATTACCATATGCAAAATGGAAACGAATTAGTTAAAAAGGGAAATTTCAAGTAACCAACGGATCGTTAAATGGCTAGCCTGTGGACGAGAAAAAAAACTTAAAAAATCCTTAACAGTTGAATTTCTTAACATCAAAGAAATTAAACACTTCATGTTTTCTATTGATTTAAAAATAATAGGCCTTTTTAAATGAAAAAATCTTGTTACCATAGCGGAAATGATGACTTTTTGGTACGGTACTGATATTTCTACTTTAAAATTTAGTAATCTGATTGATTCAATTTATAAACATACTATATATAGCTTACATTAGATAGAACTGACTTCATGATTTTAATCGATGCTGATATAAAAAAAAAATACAAAAGGAAAAATTTAATAAAAACAAATTTGAAATAGGAAGATTTTAATTTTACCGAACGACTTTAAGGTCACCAGATGACCGTTCTAAGTATATTTTTTCTAAGGAAGGAGATGGTCCATGGTGGTGGTCATAAATAGGCTAAATAGTGGTAAAACTATTTTATTAACAGCTAACGTTTTGAAACGACTTTGCAGGTCTTCTTCAGGGAGGTGTGTTCAGCTAGGAGTTACTCAATTTTAAATTAAATTTTTTAAAATGTAGGTTTTATTGGCATTTTTTTTTAGATTATTTGCACTAAATGCTCCTATAATCTTATAAACCCATTTAAATAATCCTTAAAACTCTATATGTACTCCAGTGTTGTGTAAACACATTTTAAAAAGTATTTATCCTTTATTTGTTTTTTGTTTTGTTTTTGTTCTTTATACAAAGATTGGTTAATATAATGAAAATTCAGAATCACATATACATCCTGATTTATCTATAAATAATATTTATGCATATAATAACTGTACCCTGTTATAATGAATGATATATTTCAGGTAATTGCATTGTAACATATTCAAACAAAAAGTTAAATACACAATATACACAAATTAAAAGGGTTGATGTTAAAATATAAAAAAATTAAAACATTTGCTTCACCTATATGACTTTATAAAAGATACACATTTATACAATAGTCGGTGCAAAGTATCAAGCAGCCAATATTCAGTGATTTTTAGTTAAATAGTTTCTATTTGAATTAATGATTTACACGACATATTTACACATGTTTGATAATATATATATATGTATATATAAATGCAAAATTTACACAAGATTTACAAGACTTTTTTTTTTTAAGTTTTTGTCAAAAAAACTTTTTGAAAATTAATAATGTTAATACATAAACAAACATGAATAGCTTTATACCAACGTATGAATACTTTCAAACATCATTATTAAATTAACTCATAAATGACAAACAAAATTATATATACTTAAAAAAAAATAAATAAATAGAAAAGTTCAAGTGCAAATAAATATTTTATTATAAATCGGGATTACTTAGTATAAAAAATATTCAGATTCTTCCGACAATAAAATCGCTACAAACAATCTTTGTATATTTATATTGAAAGGAATATTTACAATTTATTTCTTAAAGATGGCATGTCTTAAGTATTAGTCAACAACTGGCAGTGAAATTGGCAGTGAATGGAACAGTAGTCAGTTACTTCCTTCAAATATAACAAAAAAAATAAAATAAAATCGAACAAAACAAATCAAATATAACACCATTCGCACGCATATAGTAAATACACAAAGCCATTCAGTTTAAACATTTCACAGCCGATACAATTAAACTTTTAAACAACGCATTACGAGATTCAATGATTAGGAGAGACACTTTAAAATAAATAAAAATAAATGTAAAATGGGGCCCCTATATATTGAACTTTTATTAATAAAAAAATGAATATCTACTCACTGTTATGAACTATATAGTATAGAGCACAATATTAATAAATTTATTTACTAAATATATGTGTACATATATTAAAAAAGATTAACAATAATTAATATAATTCTGAACAAATTTTAAAATTAATAAAACTTTCAACATAAGTTAATGATTCAATTTTGCAAAAGTATTTTTTTTTTTTTTTTTTTCAAAAAGGAAATTTAATGTTCAACATATAGAGGTTTGAATGAATTAACGTATGAGAAAAGAAAGAAAGAAGACAAAAAATATAAATAGTATACAAAATTCAATTCGAAAATGAACTCAAAACATATATAATTAAAAAAAATATGCCTCCAAATAAGTTTTAAAGAAAATTTATTTGATGAACATACCGTAAATGCGGCTCCACATTAATAGATTAAATAAATAAAATTTAAACAAGATACATTTCAAATAATCATGTTACTCAGTATCAGTTAAATGGCTTTGAAATTATATTATATAGCTTTGAAAGAGTTATTTATAATCGGAGCAAGAAATTATGCTTTCTTTCAATAAATAAAAATATTTACAGTAAAATAATAATATTAAATTGAATTCTAAAAAGTCAGAAATCATAATTTTAAAACAAAAACTAGACAAGAACATAAAAAAAAAAAAAAAAAAAAAATAAAAAAAATGAAACACTTTTATAAGCACCATATGGTATACCAAACCTTAAATCGTAACCCCACTAATTTTTTTTTTTTTTTATACACTTTAATAATCTTTTGACAAATATCTATTCTAACAGGATTTTATTATATTTTTCAATTGTAAAAAACAATTACACATTTAAACAAATTTTCCGAAAATGATATGAATTTTTTAAGCACGAGGCTAACCCGTACAAAAGATACCATAGACTGGTGAATTGTAAACAAACCTGCAACAATTTAAATGAGTATATAAAATATTGTCAGGTTTTAATTAAAAATAAATACTTTGATGAAAGAAAAAAAAACATATCAATATACTGAGGACTAGCGGATACTACTGCCGAATGACAAGGGAATGTTCCGGGCTGAACCCAGGTTTAAGACGCAATTACTGCGAATTAATCAGACTTCTTAAATAAAATAATAATAAAATAAGAATTCACTAAGCGCAAATATAATTAAAATAACTACTTTATAATAAAGAACTTTTAGCGTTACAGTCTAAAGCAATGGTTCTCAATTGAATCAATAAAAAAATAAAATATGGTCTAAAAAGTAGGTTTACTGTTATGATATTGTTTCTTGCTTTTCCAGCAATCTATTAAATATGCAATGAGTTCGGTATATTAACAGATAATAAAACTAAAGGTATCAGAAAAAAACACGATACTTCAGATCGAATTATATTTCACATATATTCAACGATAGTAAAATGGATTTAATTTAAGATAAAATAGCCATTTATCGAGACTCGGATTTTTTGTAGTTTTTTAAAGTATCTTTCATTTACTATTAGTTTTAATTTTGACTTGAGAACCACTTTCCTTAAGGATATTATCTATGATAATAAATATATTTCCCCTAGATAAAAAAATTTTAATACATAATCTTTCAACTTGTAATATTGTCATAAAATAATATTATTTTAAAAGAGCTATATATACAGGTCAAAACAACAACAACTTATAAATAACATTTTTTTTTTCAATTTTTTTTTGTTTTTGTTTTAATTTAAATCCATGTTTATATCATACCCTAACCAGGCACATTATATGTAAACGATACAAATTATAATCTGATAGTACATAATATACAGAAATTTAAACCATTTTCAACGATAATTTTTTTTATATAATACAAACGCGCCTCGCAATCGCCTAATGCTATTTTAGAAATTGACCTTTTATTTTTATTTTTTTGCCTATATTCAATTTTCTTTCATTTCATTCTTTTTACTATATACATAACTTAGTTATTTCTTTATACTAAAAATTTGTACTTGATAGTTTGATTTTTAGCAATCAACATAGAATTGCCACAAAATATAAATATTATAAAAAAAAAAAATTCAAGTCAAACATTTATTTAGATTCAGCTTACTTCTTATGTTCAACCCATATAAACTAAAATAATAAATATCTAAAAAACAGAATCATCCCCCATTAATGTGCCGATACTGAATATTTTAGCATTTAATAATTTGTACATTTTCATACTGAGTAATTCAAAGCAGATATTAAAAAAAAAAAAAAACTTTTCCAATTATCTCACACCAAGCACTACAAAAATAATTTTACTTTTTTGGAAGATAGATCTCATTTATTTATATTAGCAATAATAATTTCTGTTAATAAATTAAAATAATTATATTGGCAAACAATCTAAATCCCACGCTTAATCATATTAATTTAAACACACAACGAACCAATTTTTATCAATATATGAGAGATAGAAAGTTTATATCAGGGATTTTCATCCAAACGCATCCCATGAAAGATTTTCAAAAAATATTCTAAACTTTCTCAATAAAAGTTAAAAAAAAAAAATTCTTTGAGCTTTTCAGAAAATTAATTCCTAAATATCAAAGATGAGATAACAGCAGTTCAGAAAAAAATAAGACAATTGTTCTAAAAGTAAAGGTTGTTGCCGTTTTACAAATGCATTACACAATGCAGGAACTTTTTGTTTACTTACGTGAACAAAACAAATTTAGAATTTAATGTTTTTAGCATTATACTTTTAATTTATTACACAAAGTTATCATTAAAAATATAAAGAAAAATAAAACATCGAAATAGGATGACAGCTATCTACAATTTTAATATCAATATATTATATCGAATGAGTGCTACACCATTAAATGTATACGTACATTTAAATATATATTTATATACAGTAGAGATACACTATAATGGAAGAGCAAAATATTTTACATAGATGCTATAACAAAAATGGATAACTTTAAACAAGCAAGATATTTGACAAAAAGAAATTATTTTTGAAACTTTCAATTTAACAACAGCGCATACTTATTTTCCAACTTATTATATATGTATATTTACAGGTAATTTAGTAGGTTTTTATCCTATACTAATTTAATACCTTTCCTAACAACAATGTAATTCTAACATAAATTAAAAAGAAAAAAACAAAACTGGTTATAAAATAAATTATATCTTTCAAGGATGAACAGCTGTTATAAATTTATATTACATGATTTTAAATTATTTAACGATCTGGTTAGACAAAATAATCAAAACTCTACTGTATACAAATATAATTAATGACAAGGTTAACACCATTCTTTTAAAAGCTGATTCAGTTGAAGCAACTTGGAATAAAAAAATCCAGAGATATTAATTTTTATATTTTCAATCAATTATTCGATCTTAAAAGTGACTAGAAGCTGAAGAATCCGCCATAAACCCTCAATAACACACCAAACAGCAATTTAACAGTCATGTTTTATTTATTTTTTATTAATCACTAAATAACAAAACAAATAATTATAATCAAATTTAAAATTTACTCGAATGTAAGGTAGCTGCGATAATGAACACGTGGTAAAATAACAAAATTTATTTTTATCATATGATGTCAAAGAGCAATCATTTATCGAATGTAAAACCAACAAAACACTCACCGATACCTCTATACTTTCAAGATTAAAAGTATAGTTACTAAACACATGCTTTGTTATAATGCTTTTATTTTATCATACAAAGCATAAGTACCAATTATTTATAGCAAAAAAATATATATATATTATACATATATCAGGTTTTAGTAGTAAATATTCATATGGCATATTTGGCTCTTGTAACTTTAATGTATAAATTTCATCAAAACTAATATGAGAAGGAGTTGATCGGGAGGTGCGGTCAAATTAATACTAAATTAAATAAGTAGAATTATTTATGGGTGATAAATATTCAGGACGCAGTCTTTTTTAAAATTTTTATTTTTGCCAACGTTTCAACCCAAACATGAGGGTCATCTTCAGGGCATGGTTTGAGCACTGAGGTTGTTCATGTACTCGGTACATGTACATGTACTCAGTGCTCAAACCACGCCCTGAAGATGACCCTCATGTTCAGGTTGAAACATTGGCAAAAATAAAAATTTTAAAAAAGACTGCGTTCTGAATATTTATCACCCATGATATGTAGAACAGTCGACTAACTTCCTTCTAGAATTATTTAATTTTTTAAATGTTATTAATTAATAAATTAATTATTAAAAATTAAATTATTCTACTTATTTAATTTAGTATTAATTTGACTGCACCCCCCGATCAACTCCTTCCCATATTATATCAACGGTCAACCATCTCTACATCATTATCAAAACTAATAGTTTCATCTTCTTATATTTTCTTCAAGAATAATTTAATTTTTAGCCAAAATTTATTATTAAAATAACACTGATAAAAAGTGACATCAAATTTATAATACAACATAAAATCAACTCAATACGAGAATATGAGGAACAGAAAACTTTTATACCCGACTCAAAAAACTTATATCCTCTTGAACATAAAGTGTTAAAAAAATGAAAACATAAAATCAGCCAAATATGCAAGTCAATTAATAAATTATATGTTTTGTTTTTTTAAAATTTACTACGTTAGTAAGTCTTTTGGGGAATAACAATAATAATATTAATAATTATTACTTCGCAAAATCTAAAAAATTAAACTAAACTTATCCTGAAACTAGTTTTGAACAGACTGATATAAGCAAAGAAAGGAACTAAAACATGGATTGCAGATCGACATAAAGACCAAAAAAATTAAATAAAAAACTGAACAAGAAAAACAGCTGAGCAGACTACTGTTTTTAGGACTGGAAACGATTCCAATTTTATAATTTTTTTTACAGAAACGATACTAGATTTAAACTGATGGGATAAAATATTTAATTTTAAAATATTAATATTTCTGAACTTAACCAATTTTAACATTAGGCTGGCTAATGTTAACCTTAAATATTAAATTTCTGCACTAAAAAATTAATTTAAAATTAAAAAATTAAATTTAAATCTTACATTAAAATGCCAATACATTAAGTCCCCATTTAGACAAATTCCAGTAAAATTTCTTTTAAAAATAAAAAAAGGAAAATATCAAGAAAAAAAAAAAGGTTTTATACAAGCAAAGAAATAATATTTTCCTGTAGGCGAATAATAATTGTTCAGAAATATTTAAAAAAAAAGTGATAAATCAAAATAAATATTAAGTCAACTTGATAATCTGAAGATTAATCATTTAAAAAATAATTAAATAATCAATCTTAATCTCAATATTTGGAAAATCCAAAACTATAGCATTCTATTCTCTTATGAAAATTAATAAGAATGAGATAACAGTGAAAACTTATAAAGCACCAACATACTAGTATTATTCTATTTTAACCGACTTTGGCTAAGTATAAATCAGATCAGATCTTGATCATCGGACGTTCTCATAATTAGTATAATTTACTAAAGGTGAGAATGATGGTAGCATTAATATAACATATTAACTTTCCAGAACATAGAATAAAATAATATTAGGCTAATATTTTATCCAACAATCAGTTCAAATCAGTTCCTTGAATTTTTTTGAAAAATAATTATTACTAATCAGTCATAGAGGGAGGTCAGTCGTAACAGAGTGGCGTAACGATACGTTGCCAGCTTTATTACGTCGGGGTCCCCCAGTTGATTAAGTACTGCGTGGTTCCGTCTAGAGATATCCTTTTAGCGCGTATTGTAAACTTGGCACCGGACGCTATCCTGTTTACAGCACCAAAGTATTGGTTCACAGAACTCTTCAGCTCCTCGATCGTCTGAGGCGGCTGGCCTTTCACGGGCGAGGAATTTGGTGTACACTTCTGGTGTTTCCTAAGCCTGCCTCGGCCACCTCCTTCAACCCCTCTACCTCCAATCTTGTTCATTGTTCTTCTAACTTTTCTCCGCTTGACCTTAAATAGAACAAAACAAAGTAGATAAATTTAAAATCTATATATGAGCTAATTTTGTTTAGATTAGATTTTATTTTTACTTAAATAAAAATTACATTTATATAACTAATTGCTATTGAACAATCTGAATGGAGATTTTATTTCTTTACATTAATAAAAGAATATATTGTATAATATTATACAATATATTCTACAGAAAAATACTTTTTGAGATATGCAAATAAATTCATGCACTACAATATTTCACTTTTGCCAATTCCAAAAACTTATATAATATTGAAAAGTCGGTTACACAATTATTGGCAAGTTTTTATCAACTAATACCTTATCAATAATTTACGAAATAAAAGTAATTTACAAGGCTGATGACCTACACTTTACAGCCCCAACCAACAACAAAGTAATTTATAAAATGAAATAAAGTTAGTGAAATGAAGCCCTTTCCTTATGGAATCAGCGTTTAAGTAATTTTCTTTGATAGAATAATCTTGATATTGTACATTTTATATTTTAAATAGTCGGTAAAACAAAAACATATAATAGTATTTAGTATAAAGACTTTTTTTTTTTCCTTTTACCTCTTATTTATCACTTTTGGTATACACGAGAAAGGGATTATACCACAAATATAATCAATCTATTTTAACCAGAGTGGAAAGGTCGAAATACATTCTGTGGTTCTACCACAAAATAATTTCAACCAACCTAGGCCTGAATCAAATACAGGCACTCAAGGTTGTTAAAGTTATGACACCTCAACACTCTCGACCATCATAGGTTATTAAGACTGCATTTTTATAAAATAGATTGTAAAAATTAAAAGTCCTAATTTAGTTCAATCATATTTGTGAACATCTTCATAATTTTCCAGGTAGTACATGATTACTACCAAGTAAGGGAGCGTGGTAGCTCAGTGATAGGGCACTAAGCTTCCAATGTTTAAGGTCCCAGGTTTGTATCTCGGTCCATGTCAGAAAAATTATTTATTCTCTTTCATTGGTCGTGGGGCGATCCTGGCGGTAGTGAGAACTTCCAATCTCTACAAAGTGGGTACCATTAATTAAATAATTGATAGAGGGGAAAACCTGGAGTTTGAGCGTGATCCTGGCCCGATCTCCTCTCTGCACAACCGTTAGCCTTGTAACAGTACTTTCCCGGGTACTTATTTAATAGCAGATAGCGTCGAAACCTCCCTTCTTATCTAATCTCATTTCACATAACCTTACTCATCTAATCTAACCTAAGTTATTCCCTTGTTGTTTCTTGTGTTAGCTGTGAGTTAGTGTTATTTAATTATGGATGTTGTCACATTGTGGGAATTCCCGTCTACAGAAGAATAGGCTATAAAATATTTTTAAGACGCCGGGATATTTGCAAAGGTCAATATCAAAAATTGTGATGAAGGTCATCAAATGAAGTTCGACAGGAAGGAGTTAAATGGAGATGCTTTTGTAGTTGTAACAAAATCGTTTCTATAAGGAAAGGGACATGGTTAGAGGGGTCGAGGATTTCTTTTTTAACGGCTTTAAAATTCATTTATGGATGGTCCCATAATCTAACAACAATACAGTGGGGGAAAGAGCAGCTCAAACTATCCAACGCAACTATCGTAACATGGAACAAATTTTTAAGAGAAGTTTGTGCTCATGACGGATCTCTTCCTTGCTATTTCAAATACCATAAAACTATTTTCCCTGCCAAAATAAATCAAGTTAAAATAAAATTTTTCATATTTTGTTTATATTGTTTCTTCATAGTGTTTCTTTTATATGTACATATGCTGTTTAAGTGGTTTTTTATTATTTCATCTATTTTTTGCCTATTTTTATTATTTCATTTATTTTGATATATATGTTGCAATGTTTTTTAATTATATATTTATAATGTTTTGGTCACAGTTCGTGGAAAAAACACTTCTCTCTTGTTTTGGAAAATATAAGAAGCTAATTTTTTTTTTTTTTTTTTTTTTTCGACAGTGGATCAGCTGATGCGAAAGGACGTGTTTCTACATCGTCTCTCAGAATTTACTTATTTTGCAGTGAAATCTTTGAGATTATTTATTCAAAACAAGTCAAGAATACATAATAACAATTGATATTTATTGTTTGTTATAAATTATAGGGTTATTTTTATTTTATTTTATTATTTATTTTTTTTTTTTCATTTTTTTTTCCCTTATATGCGATATCACAATCAGGCCATGTCTAGTAGAGCTTCTATCAAGAGAATTCGGCCGTTAGGCTCAACACCTTGTTCTTCGCCTGTCAAACAAAAGCCTCGTCAATGTCGTCAAACACCTGCAGTAACGCCTATTAGCTCCAGAGAAAATGAAACCCAGCCAGGAACATCATCAAAACCAACAATTGAAGAACTTCAGCATCAACCAGGTACATCTTCACAAGAGATAACCGAACAATCTCCGTTTTTCACCCCTAACCCCTATCAGGTGCTTCAGAATGATAAAGAAGTGATGGAATCCGCTTCAATACCAAGAGATCCCCGACCTCCACCCATATTCGTTAAAAACATAAGCAATTTTCAGTTACTATGCTCACAACTGAACAAAATAACAGGCTCTGGAAGCTATTCATGTCTAAGCAGAACAAAGGACACGAAGATATCACCAGATACAGCTGAAACCTACAGAAAAATTGTGAAGTATCTAACGGAAACCAACGCGGATTTTCATACGTACCAATTACGGCAAGATCGAGCTTTGAGGGTAGTCATAAGAAATCTACACCCCTCAACACCAACCGAAGCAATAGAAGAAGAATTGAAAACTTCAGGTTTCATAGTGCGCCAGATTACAAATGTACAGAAGGAGAGTAAAGAACAGCCAGGAGTAAAAGTTCCTCTACCCTTATTTTTCGTAGATTTGGAGCCAAATCAAGGGATCGAAAAAATATACGAAATAAGAAGAATATACTACACAAGTGTTATAGTAGAGAAGCCATATCCTAAGAGGGAAATCGTACAGTGTCACAATTGCCAGGCATATGGCCATACCAGGACTTACTGCCATCATCTGCCGCGCTGTGTGAAATGTGGAGAGCAGCACAAATCCGGGGAGTGCACAAAACCGAAACGGGATCCTGCAGTTTGTGCATTGTGCCTTGAAGGACATCCAGCGAACTACAAAGGCTGTCAGATCTACAAGAATATTAAATCAAGATATCAAAAATCCCGGACCCAAGAAGAAGCAGAGGCATCAAGAAGAGAACCTAACGCATCAAGAAGAGGACCTTCAAAAAAAATTGACCCAACGGTGTCTTTTGCACACTTATTAGGAGGTAAGAATGATGTTACTTATTGTGAGACCCTGCCGCAACAACAACACATACCTCAAAATTCTCAACCCCACCCTCAACATCCTAATCAAACTTCACCTAATCAACAGTTTTATCAACACCAAATTCCCCGCATTCCTCCTCCCTCAAATACCACAGATCTCACCAGTTTACTTACATCTTTCCTCTCCGAATTCAGATCCCTTGTTACTCCTTTGATATCTCTTCTCACCAATCTTGTATCACATTTTATCCCTCCCGCGAAAAATCCTTAAATGACTTCCAATAAACCTTTATCCATTCTCCTTTGGAATGCGAATGGTGTTAGAAATCACACAAACGAACTAACTACATTATTACTTGACAAAAATATTGACGTGGCACTAATTACTGAAACTCGACTAACCACTAAACAGCACTTCAAAATACCACAATACCTGACATATCGTACTGACCACCCTGACGGAAAAGCACATGCCGGTACTGCTGTCATTGTACACCAATCCCTCTCCCATCACCTACTCCCGTTACCTACACATGATTTCCTACAGTCCACCGCTATCGTGATAAAAACCTTTTCCTTTCCGGTTACCCTTGCATCAGCGTATTGCCCTCCTAACCGATCCATATCCAATGCCCAATTCCGTTCTCTCCTCGACTCCTTAGGACATCACTTCATCTTGGGTGCAGACCTAAATGCCAAACATCAACAATGGGGTTCCAGAACCACGAATACTCGTGGCCGAACCCTGCTGTCTGCACTCAATTCCCAACATTTTCACCTCCTTTCCCCCAACTCTCCTACCTACTGGCCTACAGATCCCAACCGTAATCCTGATCTTCTTGATTTCTTTATCCACAGCGGCTTAAGTCCCCTCAATTGTTCCATTACACGTCTAAATGAACTTTCCTCTGACCATAGTCCTCTAATCCTTAATGTTTCACTTGAACCCGTTCCCAAACCTTCTCCACCGTCATTTATTAGGGGCCCAGTTAACTGGGACCTTTTCCGCCAAATCATCTCCGATAAAATTGATCTTAACATATCCCTCAAAACTCCCGATGACCTTGATAGTGCCGTAAATTCCTTTACTACCACAATCCAACAAGCCGCCTGGACTGCTTCCTTCCCAAAAGACTCCTCCAGAATTCCTAAAAAGACCATTCTACCCCAACACCTCCTTGACCTAATCCAAACCAAACGCCGTGCCAGATTATTGTGGCAACGTACCCGACATCCTACCGACCGCTGCTCCTATAATTATTACTGCAAAAAATTAAAACTGGAATTAGCCACCTTCAGATCACATTCCTTCAACTCCTACCTATCCTCCCTTTCTTCTCGCGACAATTCCCTTTGGAAAACCACTACCAAAATCTTAAATCCTCACCGCATTTCCCATCCCCTCCGACGAGATGATGGCTCCTGGGCAGCATCTGACGAAGATAAGGCTGAGGAGTTCGCCATTCACCTATCCAATACATTTATTTCACATCCGGAATCCCATCCTGCCCACACCGTAACAGTAGAAGAATTCCTTACATCACCAATCCCACTTTCCTTGCCCCCAAAAGCTATTCATCCTTCCGAAGTGAAATTTCAATTAAAAAAATTAATCCCCCGTAAAGCTCCTGGACATGATCTCCTTACCCCTCAAATCCTTCGACAACTTCCATCCAAAGCAGTCATATTCCTTACATATATCTACAACTGTATCCTACGCACCACCCACTTTCCTCTGCTATGGAAACACTCCACTATTATCCTTTTCCAAAAACCAGGCAAACCTCCCAATATCTCAACATCCTATAGACCAATTAGCCTACTCCCAATCCTTTCAAAAATTTTTGAAAAGATCCTTTTGAAACGAATCCTACCCATTATAGAATCCCAAAATATTCCTTCCCATCAGTTTGGTTTTCGCTCCCAACATTCCACTGTTCAACAAGGACTCCGAGTTGTTGATCATATTTCCTCAGCCCTAGAAAACAAGGAATACTGTTCGGGTGCATTTCTGGACATTGCACAGGCATTTGACCGGGTATGGCACTCCGGACTGCTCTTCAAGCTTAAAATCCATTTACCTCAGTCCTTGTACCTAGTCCTCCGATCCTACCTCTCTGACCGCTCCTTCCGAGTTCGCTGTGGAACAGAATTTTCCAATATCTACTCCGTTAAAGCCGGTGTTCCCCAAGGCAGCGTCTTGGGTCCCGTGCTTTACATCCTCTTTACTGCTGACATCCCTGTTCATCCCGATACTTTTCTTGCAACATTCGCTGACGACACCGCAATCTTATCATCCAACTCTGATCCCAACATAGCATCCTTAAATCTCCAAAACCACCTCACCTTGATTGAGCACTGGTGTAATAACTGGCGCATTAAAGTTAATGAATCTAAATGCCAACATATTACCTTTACACTCCGACGCAGTTCCTGTCCACCAGTACACTTTAATTCCATCCAGCTTCCTTACTCAGACACAGTCCGGTATCTTGGCTTTCATTTAGACCGAAGACTAACGTGGAACCCACATACTAGACTCAAAAGACAAGAACTCAACCGACGATACGGCCAGCTATACAGACTACTAAACAGAAAATCCAAACTTTCTATTGAAAACAAATTACTTATCTACAAGACAATACTGAAACCTATATGGACATACGGACTTGAACTGTGGGGGACAGCAAAAGCTTCTAACATCAAACGTATTCAATCCTTTCAATCTAAAGTCCTTCGAACAATAGTTGATGCTCCGTTCTATGTAAATAACAAAATCCTACACCATGACCTTAATATCCCATTTGTCCTAGACCTTATTCCAGAAAAATTCTCCAAATTTCACCAAAACCTTACCTATCATCCAAATCCCCTTGCACAATCTCTATCCAGCACCACCCATCCTTACAATCCTCCTCGAAGGTTGAAGCGGCAGTGGCCCAGAGACCTTTTGTAAATAAGCATCTATTGGAGTTTTGGCAATGGCCAGATCCTCCACTCAAGCCCGAGTGTGTATGATTAGGTTAGTTCTTTTGTTTATATACATTTATTTTATTTTATTGTATTTATTTTTATTTTATTTTATTGTATTTATTATTATTAAGTTTCTGTATTATTTATTTATTATTTATTTTTTTATTTTTAATTGTAAATAGAGTGTGAGTGTGCTTTCTCTGATCACTATTATAAATGTCCTTGATGTGACAGAATGTAATATTTCTAAATAAACAAATAAAAAAATAAAAAAAAAAAAAAATTTTTTTTTTCATTTTTTCATGCAGTGTGAAGCCTTTTTTAAATAAAACATAATTTTAAATGTTTCCATTTAAATATAACAACCAAAGTGAGTTCTTTTCATTAAAATGTTGAAGTAATAGAAACCAGAAAAAATGATATAACTCAACGTTGGCAATACTAATAATCTACAACTAAATCAAAATGTTCTAAAAATCGATAGCACTATTTTAATATATCAGATGAAATGTGAATTATGGGTGTGAATATAATTAAAATTTAGTAATTAATAATTTTGTTACTAATTTGTAATAATAGCAGATACCAAGTTTTTGAAATTCAAGAGCTATTTCTTCATCATTCCATTATTCATATCAAGAATGATTGTGCAAAAATTCTGTAACTTGAAAAATGTAGTTCATAACCAACCCGGTTTGAGTGAGGTGTGAGTTCTATTACAAATGTCTTCAACTTAAAACTGATTGTAAATACAAATAAGTAACAATAATACAATATTTTGAACATAGATAATATTCAGCTTATAATAAAGCTTATGAAATAAGTACTTATAATAGTATAACAGAAAATGTTTTTTAAAAAATGCAGTTTAGTTGAACTAACCTCGCCAGTACTAGTGATAATAATATCTTTTTCCGACAGCCTCCTTTTGACAGGCCGAAGGATAGGTGCAATGCCTCCGAGGAATGGATTATTCCTGCCCTCAAAGTCTGCAGGAGGAGGTATAATTGAATCTAAAGTACCTCGTGAAGAAGTTTCATCACCACTGGTGTCTGGCTGGGCATTGGCCACTTCAGGGTTGCTCTCGGACGATGGGGGTGTAGGGGGAAGGTCCTGCCTCTCTTTCCCATCCTAGCACAATGTTGAGATAATCAATGCTTAACATATGAACATTTCAAGTACATTCAACTACAATCCTTTTAAATGAAAAATAGATTAATTGATTAATTATTAATTAATTAAAAATTAAATAAAATAATAAATCAATAAAAATACAACTCTTTCAAAACCTCGCACCTTAGTTGATTCTCATTACATTAGATGGTGTTTTAGGCTAAATTTCGCAACTTCAAGCCTATTTTCATACTCATTTTTATATAATTTCTTCAAATTCATATTTTAACATCGTCATGTTATTAATAAAAAAATGTGATGCACGCATCATACAATTTTTACTTATCACTCTCTTCTTAGCAGAAATAAGTATTTCCAAACAAAGGAGAAGTGAAAGTAAAAATTATAGACACTGCATTTATTTAAGTTTCCCTGTATATCTGTTTAAATACCTTTATACAAACAAATTTTAATTTGTATATCACTGTAATCTATACAATTAGATATTGAATAATAGAAACAATAGCATTTATAAAAACCGCATATGTATAGTTACGTATGGAAGTGTGTTCCAATCTTTCAGGAGAGCTCGGGCGCGCGTTCATATTCCTTTGGTTTCTATATTATAACTATTTTCCATTACGATCTCTTCTTTCTCCTTTAGTTTATCATTAAATTCTTTCATATTTTATATTTAATTATTTTTTACATAAGAGATTAATGTGAAATGGTTAATTATTTCAAATAATAAAAATTAAATATACTTTAGAGAAAGAGATTTTGAAAAATCCGCTTTTAAGCTCTGTCAGGTTGCCATCAATGAGAATAAAATCCACTTTAAATTAAAAACAACTTAATAATACACTGATATACCGAGCTTAATCAAAATCGTTAAGAACCATTTTTGAGAAAATCGTAAAAATATGTTAAACCGATAATATAAAGTACCACTTCCGGTTTGCCGATTTTGAAGAAAATGTTCCTGTAACATTCCAGGCATAAAGAAACCTTAAATATACAAGTTTCGTATGACTTTTCATTTTTGAGCTAGGCTCTTCACATATACACCCCCTCCCTCCCCTCACACACACACAAACACACAGAGACCATTTTGTGGGACTTGATTATTTGGACTAAGGGGATCTCAAAACTTGTATTTTTGTTGAAAACTTAGATTCGAAAATTTTCACGATCACAATACTTTATATTACCCTTACTATAAGTTAAGGTCCGGTGTGAGATAGATAAGACTTTTAAGACTTAATATTATTTGTTTCAATTAAAAATAAACACATTATTATTTCTTGCAATTTAAAATAAACACATGTTAAAATATGTTAAGAAACACATGTTAAAATATATACTGTTATAACCTTTTTGAGTTAGATACTACTGTTTGTTGTTAAATAAAAACTATTGAATATTTCCAGTTATTTGTTTCTTCATTTTTCTATTTATCGAAGCCAATAGTTAACTTATATATTACATATATAGGTAAGAGAAAGTTAAAAAGTTTGCATTTTACTAAATTAATTATTCAGTAAATTATTAATATCTTACATTAATAAAATTAAACATCAAGAAATGATATGAAAACAGATTTCAAGGTGAGCCCAAAATGTCGTTAAATATAATAAGAATAAAATAAACTGAAGGGAGTTTTGAAAGGATTGTTATTTTCTCTGAAATTATTATATTTTAATAAATTCTAAAAAAAAAACTTTTTTTTTAATTATAAAATTAACAGTTCTTATGAACAGAAAAAAATCGAAATAGTAACTATTTGTAAAAAAATATAATAATATAACTATTTAAAAGAGAAAGAAATTTTCAGTAAACATCTTTAATAATGTTTTATCTATTAATTCCTTTTAGAAAGATCATGCTAAACTTCTATTAAAATATATATATTGAATATCAGATACCTTGTTATTAAGAGAGCTCCTTAACATACGCCTGGCTTTCCTTGATTTACGTAACCTTTCTGTTTCAATCCCTTGTTCTTTAATTCGCCTTTTGATCGCTCTCGACTCAGGGTAAATGGGTGTTGAACTTTTAATACACACCTAGAATATAAAAAAAAAAAAAAAAAATTCAATACACCAAGTATACCAAGAATGATGAAAAAATGTTGAAACTACATAAATTATCGATTCCTATATTTATGAACATAATCTAAATATTAAATGAAGATAAAAATTTCTATACCATTATATAGAAAGATTTTTTAAAAATTTTATTCTTCAAATTTCATTCATAAAAGGTTATTAAAAGGAAAGTAATTATTTGAGAAATGAAACAGAGACACTATCCTTACAAGACCTATCATCTTAACAAGACTTGAGATGCTATCTATACAAGATCTAAGATATTGTCTTTACTGCTATCTATGGAAGACCTAAGATATTATATTTACTGCTATCTATACAAGACCTAAGATATTATCTTTACTGCTATCTATACAAGACCTTTATAATATCTTTACAAGACCTAAGATAATATATATACAAGATTTTCCTAATGAATTAAAAATAAATAATAGGGAGAAAAAAATGCACTTGCCCCTCTTAAAATAAAAATCTTTATGTTAACAAAATAAAATTTCAAACTAATTTGAGTAAGATTCTGAAAAAGTAATGTAAATAACTTAATGTATGTATATATCCATATAAAAAAAAAAAAATGTAATGAGAATATTCAATTTTTTTTTTCAAAATGAAATTTATAGATAATTAGCTCAGACATTTAATTTAATAGGAAAAAAATATTAGGCATACATTAAGGCATATCTATGGATTAAAAATTCAAATTAAAGAAAAGATAAACAATACTTATTCTATTGTTAACAAGTTAATAACAATGTACACAAACAAACTAATTCATGATTGATTTTACAAAGAATATCTGATGTTTGTTAAAAAAACAGTCGGATAAGATCATAAATAAATCCTTGTTCTTTAAGCTTTTCGGAACACAAAGGATTTTTTTTTTTCAATATTCAAGGGATTTTTTTCATATATAATGCAGAACTTCATTTCATTATCAAAAAGAAATTTAAAACCAAATTAAAATCAGAATAATTCAAATGTAAATAAGTACATATGATGAGACAGACGTCATAGTTTTCAAGATTTCAAGCCAGAGAGCATCAAACATACAATACAGCAATAAAGTGAACAAGAAGCCAACTGTTCCTCATAACCTGATATGAAACAATCCGATAAACTCGGTCTTCACTAGCAGGCCGGGACTGACTGCTATCTGCCAATGTTTATAACCTCAACACTAATAATTCCGATAAACTTCTTGTAATTCCTATCTTCGTATTATTGTATTATATTCGTATTATTGAAAGTGTAAACCGAAACAAAAACAAATGTAATAACAAAAAAAAAACTTTTATTTTACAACACATATATTAATGAAAAAATAAAAAAAACACTTAAAGAAGATATGTACATATAAAAGATCAAAATGAAATAATAAAAAAACACTTAAACAACATATGTACATATAAAAGAAAAAATATCAACACTATAAACGATATATGTACAATTTATTTTCACTTTGTCTTATTTATTTTGCAAGGCAAAATAGTTTATTTAAAATAGCGAGGAATGGGTCCTCTTCTTTATGAACCCGCCGCCACAAAAATTCGCATAAATATGAATAGAGGTGTTGTCTGGCAGTTCCTCTATATATTTTATTTCTCCACTTAGCTGAGCCCCATAATCGTTTTATGTGTTGAGTATGAACCCCAGTTGATGGATCGACAAAATTATACAGGTGATTCACTTGGAAATTGTCATAGTTTGCTTCGTTCAGTTGTCGGGTGTTGCATCCTTTCCAACAGTCCGAATAGTGGTCGTTCTCTCTTCTATTTTGTCTTTAATTGCTTGAAGTAGTACCAAAATAAAGAACACAAACGGGACAAAAATAAAGAATTTAATAAGTGAACGTAATAAACAATGTAATAACTGAAAGGTTTGGCGGGATAAGAAGAGGGAGGTTATGTGACTAGACGTTAGATAACATAAATAAGAAGTGAGGTTTTGACCCGCCCTGCTAGTGAAGTAGTACCACAAACTCTTCATCAATCTAATAAAGTAAAGGTAAAATTTTATTTAAAATTTATAAAGAGCGACAAGAGAACAATTATGAGTCTCGCTACAGATCATATCTATAAAAGAAGATGAAATTAGTGGAAGATTCAACCAGACAGTTGTGGCTGGAGGATGAATAAAAGTTTGAACCATTTGTCAAAAATGTATATAAATAATATCGTACCGAAGATAATAAAACAGGGTGTCCTGTTGAGTAGAGAGAAATATTATTATTGGGAATGATAGCAGACCTCAAGAGCTACATAAAAACAATGGGCCAATTTTCAGCAGATAAATAGAAAATCCAAGTTTTTTTTTCAGTATGTCACATTTTTGTTTAATATTATAATGCGATAACTAAAAAAAATACTTAATTTAAGTAATTAAAAATGGCTTCACAGTCAACTAAACAACATTTAAAAACTAATCAATTCTTATAATATGGAATCTGAGAAAAAACACTGTCCATGATCATTTTAGATGATAAATATTACAAAAATTGTTATTTTTAACATTTTTTTTTTTCATAATTAAAAAGTGGTTCTATGTAATGTATAATACATTCCAGGTTATGAAAAAAAGAGGAATTAAAGCTTTGCAATAATTTATTACTGCTATTTTTGCTGAAAACACGGATACATATAAGTGACAGGATATCAAATCATAATAATTTTTTTTTGTACAACTTGCGATGAATCTTAACTTATTTCATAATAAATCCTCAACTTGATTAATATGGATTCAAAGCTTCTTAAATAAACATGTTTTTTTTTTTTAGTGAGGTATCTGTAGTATATTTGGAGGGTGATAAAAATTCATGATATTTTTAAAAACAGAACTTAGCTTAATCTAACCGCTCCGAAGTTGCCTTTAATGGTTTTTACGATGATAAGCTCTACTTTCATTTGAAGTAAATTTTGTCTAATTTACTGCAAAACAATTTCTAATTACTTAAATTATGTATTTCTTCAGTTATTGCTTCCGATTAAACAAAACCGTGACTTGCCTAAAAAAGAACAAAACTTGGATTTGCTACTTTTTTGCTGAAAATTGGTCCATTGTTTATATCAACTTTTTTGTAATTCTTTCAAATGCTGTTATATTTATAAGTATCTAAATACTTAAAAATATAATGATCTCCGAAATATAAAATTTAAGACGATATGATTCAAATTTGCCACAAAAAAAAAAAAAAAATCTCGTTGGAGGAACTTACATTATGACCACTGGCAGGCACTCCTTTTGGAAGCACTAAAAGTCTTGTCTCTATATGGAGGATATCGATACCTGGGAGCTTATCCTTTAAATCGTTCAGGTCGAAATCGTCCCCAGGCTTGGTTGGTAATAAACTCCTGCAATTATATGATAAAATATCAAGAATCAATTTAAATAATACAACTAGCTAGTTAAGACTCTGAGAATGATTCGCACATTATATTGGTCAATGATCAAATGATAAATTAATAAGAAAAGAAAACAATACAACGTATCATAAGATAGAGGAATCAATTCTTATTTTCGCAATAATTATAATAGACCAAGAAAATGAAAATTAATTTAAACCAATTAATTTAACCATTCATATTTTAAATTAACACTTTTATGAAATTCAGTAAGCTGTATCTTTGCTAAAAATAGTCTGATATCAATGATTTTTTTTTTTTATAGGAAATTTAGCAATCTTTTAAGTAATCAGAGGTATAGGCCACAAAAAAGTTATTCTTTGAAATTTTTATCATAAATAATTGATAACTTATCACATTTCACATTAAATTTTGAACAATTCATTCACTGTGAACATTTCTTTGAATTTTTAAAAAGGATAGAAGAAATTCTATATCTTTTAAAGAAAAACAGATTTGGCTAGAATCAGCATACAATTATTAAATTAAAATTGATTTATAAATGCGTTTTGAGAAAAAAAAAAAAGAAAAAAAAAAAAACCTGCACCACTGCACAACCCATAGAGGGTCTTGGGAATCACTACTATTTAGGAAAAATAATGCTTCTTAGTCAATGGTTGTGCAAGATGATTTGACCAACATTACGTTCAACTGCCAGATTGTTTCTGTTATTTATTTAATTAAGAAAACCCGCTTCAGTGGCTGGATATATCCTAAGAGGGTCTCCCATTCTACAGGATCTAACAGAATAAACAATTACTTATGAAACCGGAGCATAGGAACTAAGTGGCTTACCCACTGATCTATCTTATGGTTAATTAATTGATCTTATAATATTTGAAATTTGTTAAAAATGGCGAAAAAAAACAACTTTAAATTGGTTCCTGAATATGAGTTGATGATAGAATCAATAATTACCTTGGCGGAGGAGGTAGGAACTTGAGCCGTGCACTGTTATTCCAAGCGTCAGAAAGAACTTGGTCGGACAACGGTTTATTAGGAGGAAGACTAAATACAGGAGTAGGAGGTGGAACGCGAACCCTCAAACCCCATTTTGTTGTCCGACTCTTATCTTCCCTAGCACATTTAAATCTGAAAAAAAAAAATATACACATAAAATAAAAAATAATTCATGATGAACAATCTTATTTAGGTTATTCATATTTATTGTGAGTGTTGATATAATTATTAAGTTTTAATCACTGTAAGATTAATCTTTTAAATGAAAATAAATACTCCCACAGATCTTATCATATTATTGATAAGACATCTCTTTACTTTTAAGTTTTATTTTCTCTAGGTATTATAAGATGTTTCGTTATTCATTGTCATTAACAAATATTCAAACAAAAAAAAAGTTATAAAAACAGTAATTTTTTTTTTTTATAGAATACTACTCAATGGCAGCAATTGTTATTTTATTATTACAAATTTAACTATAATAATTATTTTCTTTTTAAAGAATTTTTAAAAATTTTTGGTTTTGATAATACGACTGGAATACAAAATATAATGTTTCGTCTTTCTTGAAAATCTGTCAATAATGATTAGGGTTCACTTTGGAAATAAATGACTTGTACAGATGTTCTGAAGAGATGTACTATCTGGTATATGATATGATAAGTGTGCTACATAATATCCAAACAGTGTTTTTTATATATTTATATTCATAAATAACACACAAAATAATTTTTGTAAACTAGAAAATAAAAAAAAAAATTCATTTTATAGGTATAATATATATATATATATATAATATGTTATTATCAGTTGAACTTACCTATTTCTATTGCTAGTAAAAACGGACAATACTATATCTCTTCTTTCTGCTTCACTAGTCTCTAAAATCTGGAAAGAAAAAACAAGATAATTAATTTTTCGATTAATTTATTTATTATAGGCCTCTTTCCCGCAGAAGATGCAAGACACAAGATGAATGCAGATGATAGAATGAGAGCTTTCATACCAAAGATGCAAGAAGTGTTTCTTGCACTCTGGATGAAAGACGCACTTGCCTCTTAAGAACCAGTTGGCTAATGATTTTGTCGCACCACTCCTGACTCACCCAACTCTCACACTTGACTCTTCTAATTTCTTTTCAGACTTCAATTAGACGTGTTCAAAGTACGGTTCCATGAGATCCAACAACTTGTTAAATTTTGAAATCTCTATTTTATAACATGCCTGAAATTTTACTGGATGGTTCAGTAATTGCTGAGACATAATAGCAGGGCTATACTCTGCAGCGTTATCCCTCATTTCGTTGCCTGAAGGGTAGGATGATTGTTTATTCATATTTCAAATTCACGTACTAAACTAACCAGAGATAATGGGTATAAGCAGGTGTAAGTGGCACGTGCATCTTTGGTGTGAAAGCTCTTTTATCAAAATGCAAGATGCACAAGCATCCTGCATCCAGGATGAATGCATCTTGCATCTTCGGTGCGAAAGCCCCTAAGATTAAATACTACAAGAGACAAGAGTTCAATAGGAAATTTCCTAAGAAAATGAACATTTTAATCTTTAAATTCAAGGATATCGTGTTCATTCTCACTATTTTGAATTAATTAATTAATTTTAAATTTCTTCTTTCTACTCTGTTTGTCTAAGGGAAAAATATATCATCATTGTCCCGCATTTAAAACCTACATACAATCAATTACCACTTCAGTGAACATTGTAATCTAACAGACTAAAACCACCATATAGATTATTAAGGTTTGACTTTTTAGATTTTTACATTGAATTTATAATTGAATTCAATATCTTCAAAAAGGAAATTCAATCTATCAAAACTTTTTTGGAGAATAATATCTTAGAATATACAGATATAAGTGTTTAAAGAATAATTAATATACTAGTTGGTCCGTGTCAATAATTTGCATAATATATTGGGTCAGTAAACAATTAACAATATAATAAACAAGTTAATTCAATGTATTATGAGACAGAGGAAGTAATTTTCTTTTTCTCAATCGAATCTTATTATTTCATTCATAACAAACCCAAACATGCGTACATTACTATAGGATGTTTCTTTGCTAATAATGACCCGATTTTTATGTGTTTTTGGGGTGAGGGAAGAGGGGAATTTAGTAATCTTTCATATAATAATGGGTGCAATTAACAAAGATGTATACTTTTGGAGTTATTCGCAAATGAAGTTTCTTTTCATTCATAACGATTCATACATAAAGTTTCTTTTTTCTTGAAACTTTAGAGGTTGTGATAATGATTCATCACTTCTCCATGAAATTTCCTTTGGTTTGATACCTCATTCAACAAAATCCATCACTCTTGAAAGCCGCGAAAGGGATCTACACTTCGAAATACTATGAATGAATGAAAAATAATTTCCAAAGGTCGATTGAGGAAATAAAAATACGAAATGAATTAGTTAATTTTACTTAAAATAAGTCCATATATAATATTGGGAAACATCATTGTATATGTTTAAAATAAATAGTCTTCCCCTACTCCTTTAAGAATAACCAGTCACTGAATAGAAATGAGACGGATGAGATGTCGGTGACACATTATAAGGTAATTTTAACTTATTTAAATCATTTAATAATAAATAATTGAGTAATAATAATGTTATAAAATAATTAAAGGTGGACATGACAAAAATAAAAATTTTTATTATGAGTAGACGCATGCAATTCGCATAAGTTGAAAAGGACAGGTACATGATTAGTATTTTAGGTATATAAAAAGAATCTCTATATGTTGAAGTATGTAATGTTTTAAATATGATTGTAAATTGTAAAAATTTTTTAGACTTGAAAATGGCTCAACGAGCCGAAACGTCGTAATCAGATGTGTAGTCATTAAGTTGACAAAATTTTGAAAATTGGTGTAAAATGGCTGATAATAAATAAACTTGAAAAAAAAAAAATTTATTCTGGGACTCAAGTGTCCTAAGAATAATAATAACAATACAGTACTATGTATAAAAGTAGGTAAGCATGAAGAATGCGTGCAATTTCTTCATGTTTATTATTCTAAGCTTATATTTTATGAGACAAATGTTGAGCATACTCAAGTCTCTCACGTGACCAGATTTTATTTTAAAAGGTTCTTAGAAAATATATTTGCCACGTTAGTAAAATTTAAAAAAAAAAGGAACCTTTGGTGGAAGCTGAAGCTCATTCCAGTTACTATTAACGAACTTCATTATGTCTGCGTCGACGTCTTCATACTTCTTAGCCGTCTTTAATGTTAAATTAAACGCTGCTAAATGCACTAAATCAATCCATTTCACTTCTAACCTCCTCAGGAACTCTTTTCCCGAATTACATAGAGTGCAAACAAATACATAAAATCTAAAAACAAAGAAAAGAATTATCAAAATAAATAAAGCTTATGAATCATTATTTGTTATTAGAAAATCTACCATCCACTACTTTTACCAATCGAAAATTGTAGGGTAAAACCTTGATTAATTCACTTAATGATTTGATTAACGATTTAACATAAGCTACCAGGCTGGTTTCAAATTTCAAAAACAAAACTTTTATTCATTTCTTTGTTAATACAAACCTGCATAAAATTTAACAAGTTATTATTGCAAGGTTCCAAAACAAAAACGCTGCAAATTATTTCACAATGGTTTATTATTTCCAAACAATTATACATCTAAAGTAACATTACCTTCCTAGTTACAAAGAAAAATAAATAAAAGGTGATTCCAATTATTGGACTAAACTTTTTTTTTTTTCATATCATAAGTAATAAGCTAAAAAAAAAAAAATAGCATTACTTCAGGAACAAATTCAAAATTTAAAAACCAAACAAAGAATATAACATTCGGAGTAAAACATATAAAAAAAAACTGGAGACCATATCTTTGCTTCTAATTATCCGATTTTTTTTGTTTTTTAGGAAATTTCGTAAACTTTTAAAAAAACATACAAAATGTGTAAACTTTTTAAGTTATTCGGATTTTAATTTTACCATCCCTCGTAACTTTCTTTTCAGCTCCTTTTTGATGAAGTATGTTATACAGATAAATTGAAAGGGCGTCGAGAAAATGACTTAGCGAAGTTTCATTGAAATCGGTACATTCGTTTAGGAGCTAGTGTATAGCAACGCAGGTTTTTCGGGCAGCATTTTTTGAAAGTAAAAGGCGGATGGTAATGTCGATGAAGGAGGATCATCCTCGGGTGACCTCTGATTTTAAATCCAAATTTGAAAAAAATGGTCCAGTAGTTTCGGAGAAAATGCGTGGACGGCGGACGGACAAAAATTTTTTTATTCATTTTTCGAATTCTAATCATCCTCCTACTGGAATAAAGATACCCTACTATTGTAAAAACTGCCTTGTTTAATAAGATTCAAGTCCATATTAATTTAAATTGAGATTTGTTACCAGATAACATGAGATTTACCTTTAGATGTGTAAAACAATTATGTGATTTGATATTTTATCATTCCAGGGTACATGAGTGTTTTCAGTAAAAATAACTACAATAAATTATTGCAAGGCTTTAATTTATTTTTTGACAATTAGTAAAGACAGTACAGGCTCCATTTTATCAAATTATTAACACTAATGTAAAACTTTGTGAGCGGCTTCATTTTATTGTAATCCACAACTTTTTTTATTAAAATTCTCGGTTATGGTCTGTACTTCTGATTAAATTAACCCGTTTTTAATTTTCGATACAAAATTTATAAATATTATTTATCGATATTACCATCTGTTTAGACCATTAATTTAATTTTTTTACACAAAATTATAAACAGTAAATTACAATAATAAGTTATTTTCGATTTGTTTAATTTGAATGTAAAAAACTGTCTAATGGACTAATGAATGGTATCCCCCACTACAAGCTACACTGGCTACCTATCAATGGAGATCGAGCATCTTTTATCTTTTTTCTCTAGCATCTACTGGTACTGGTACAGGTGGGGGGAGACATAGTCCGTCAAGTGGGATTATTGGTCCTTTTTGCCAACCCCAAAGTTTCTCTAGCATCTAGAAGCTTAGATAGTTGAGTGAGCGTCTCTGTTTAATATAGTACTATAAAATCTAGCATATCCATTTTTGCAAAAGAAAAGATAAATAAAAATGACTAACACAATCGATGAAAAAGAAAAAAAAACACAGTGGAAGGTTATTATAGTTGCCAAGGGTAAACTTAGGTAACCAAATTTTTCCTTTGAAGTAAAGCTTAAGTGCCCACGGTCGACCGATCAAGATTAAACTCGATTGCGAAGCTGAGCTTAGTTTGAGCAACAGGTCTAAACTTCGTCTAATCTTAGATAACGCTTCATATAAGCTTTACTGTGTTGGAGCAACTAGCCCTTGAGGGTTAATCAATTTAATAAGGTACTAAAAATTAATGAATACTCATTTGGTTTTCACTTGAATCGTAAGATAATTAGATAACAAAATCGAGAAAAAGGGTGGCCTACAAAAATACTAGGCCGTTTGACATATTACCTCATTATCTTGATATGTTGGGGATGGAGGTCATGGCAAATGGTCCAATATTTTCTTAAGCCATGTTTTTTCCTCGATTTTGAAATCAAATTATCTTACGATACAAGTGGAAAGAAAATGGGTTTTCATGAGTTTTTAATACTTCATTAAATTGACAAAGTTTTCTGTTTTCTAGATCGAAAACATCCCACATCCGAGAATTTTTCTTAATAAAAAAGAATATGATAAAATGAAAGCATTCACGAAGTTTTAGACGAGCGATGACAACTTGATAAAAAGGGTCTGTACCCCAAACTCTGATTGTAGTAACTTGAGGATTTTGTTCTAAGTCTGGGACCTTCCAAAAATAACTTAATTATAAATGTATCTCAAAGTTTGAGTTCCATCTTGTTTTTCAATCATGTCTATTTCTTCCCTTTCTCTAGGTCCAGTAAATCAAAGTTTTACCTTATATTAAATACATTGTATTGGAAACTTATTTCATTTATATACTAAATTGTATCCAATTTGGGATTCAATTTATGGAGGAATGATATAAGTTTACCTGCCGTCTATAACCAACAAGGTCTGAGTTCTATTCTCAGTTCCGTTATGGAATATCCCCATTTGCGATAGATCTGTAAAAGGGGTTTACCTCAGCCTCTCGGTTGAAATATTCCAATAAACCAATAATCCCGATTATATGAAAATATATTAACTGTATTTATTTACAAATAAAAATAATCATACAAAAAGCATTAAATCATTATTAAATATATAACATATATAAGACAAAATACTTAAAAAGCTATGACATTACCTGTCACCGAAAAATAACGGATAACGCAAAGAGACTAAACACCTTCCGTGAAACCACTGCCTACATCTGCCACATTGCAGCATTTTCAGAAACCATTTTCCAGGTCCACCACAATAACAGTACTTATTTTCAGTGTTTGATCTATGTTGTAAGTCCCAATGGAGATCATTTAGCTATATAAAAAATATATATATATAAAAAGAACAATTAGAAAAAATTGACAAAATTTTGTTTACATATTAATGTATAAGATTGGTTTTGAAACTGTGAGAACTAAAATCCAACAATATTTATAATTAAGGGAAAACAACCATTACTTTTGTTATATCATTTTAACATAAAACTTAAGTACATTAATTTTTTTAATTAAAAAAATAAAGTTAGAATCATTTTAAACTATACATGTTTTCACCAAAAAGTTGAATGATTTAAAACAGGATAACCTTTTTTTTTTTTTTTTTACTTATTAACTATTCTCAGAAAATGATGATACTTATGTAGATAAATCAACTATCATTAATCTTATGTATAGAAATACTTCACTTATCGATCATTCAAATATAAAATAATAAGAAAATTATTATTTTAATTCTACTTTTCAGTTTAATTCATTATTTTATTTTTAAAAATGAACCTGTACTTTAACAACAAAGGAAGGGTATTGTTCAGTTTAGTAGTTGTTAATGTATTACTGCTTTTAAGTCAACTGTTGTGCAAGATCATTTGGTCAGAATCAGCTGCGTTAATCTGATATGTTTGGTAATCAGATAAAGTCATGATGCCTAGGGAAGAACATTTTGGGTAGTCATGGTATAAGGAAAGAATTGTAAATTACAGTTATTATGTTTCTTTGATAAAGAACTAATAATAAAACGAATCTAGCATTGTATTATTTCAACCTTAGTTAAAATGGTTTCGAGTTATTCAAATAGGACTCACCATAGATTGAAATATTTGATAATCTGAGTTTTTTAGACCCTAATTTGTCAGATTATGCTGTAAATAAATTATGTGCCTATGCTGGACTCAAAACAGATACTAGGATTTAAGTCTAGTGCCTAACCAGCTGAGCTTGCTTCTTAGACATGAGATATAAAACTTAAACATATTCACATTTTAAATAACACAACATTCACACATAAAAAATATTGATAATGAAAAACCTTTTACTAGATAATAAGCTAATGCTAATAATCAATATAACTTACATTATACGGTAACTTTTTCTTTTGGGCTTCGGTGGCTACTGGTGGGCCCGAAGGGTTCACAACTGCACACGGAGAAACAGCAGTTGTTGCCACTACAGGTGCAGGAGGAATCGGCAGAGACGGCACAGGAGATGCAACCTTAGGAGCTGGGGGAGGGGGTGGAGGAGGAAGTGGAGGTGGAGGTGGTGGTACAGGTGTCACGGAAGTAGACTTTCGCTGTGGCTGCGTCCTCTTCAACGATGCGGGATCACAGCACCGTGAACACTCCCATTTCGCTTCATCACTAAGGAACTCTTCGCTCACCTCAGGCTATAATATACAACATTAATAGTTTTTAAACCAATGATTTTGCCTAAATAAATATATATATAAATAATAAAAACAAAGAGAACTAATTTAAATTATGAAACAAGATGAAAGCTCTAATGAAATTAATCTTTTACTACGCATTATTATCGACATTGTTATATTACATGCAAGGCACTTTATTTAAAGTGACAATTAATACCACAGAATATAAAGATTATAAAGTTAAAATCGGACATTCAAGTAGTCGACCAAAGAACATAAGGTACGCAGATCATAATTTAAAGAACAGAATAAGACCAACTATTAATAGAAAGAAATCATGTAGAAACATAATTTGAAATATCAAAGTCAAGAGGGTGCTAACGTCTCATCATAACTTAACACAATATTGAATAAATAGTTTTAATAATCAACACAACTATTAAAAGATTTAATTTTAAGTAGTTAATATTATTTCTTAAAATTTTATTATCCTTGTTTAAACTAACTAACTCAGCATAAATCGCTTTCCATCGTTGCTGGATTCAATCAATTAATGTAATTCATCGATGGAATCAGCGCTGAGTTTACGAACTTGCTCACAATATGGTAATAATTATAAAAGAGAAAGCATGATTCTATGGTGGTAAGATAAAACAAATGTCTAATTTTTGCTATTTTTGGATTTTTCTAAGACAAAGTTGTTGTTTTTTTCCACTCCCTACTCTCCTATGTTCTTCAGTTAATTTTTTGCCAGGACTAAAAAATATAATCACCATATTTTTTAATAGAAATTTAATGAAAAAAAAAAAAAAAAAGGAACAGCTCCCACAAAAACAATGTTGAGGAAATCTATGGTCACAAATCAGAGAGGCGGGAAAGTTAGAAAAATATTGATGGAATGTAAAAGTTGTAAATACTTGTGAAAAAAAACTGAGATCAAACCATAATAGAATATAATGGCATTTCCGTCAAATATGGAAATTCTCCAAATACTTAAAAGCTAACAACACATATAGCATCATCTGATAATTATATCATGTATAATTATAATTCAGGATAAGTTAATTAATTTTAAGGTTTAATATTAAGAACCAAAAAAGATTCCATATTCATAAACAGAAGAATATATTTATGCAAATAAATAAAAAAAATCATGTTTTTGTATTCTCTTAAATTTTAAATTAATAAAGGCTTAGTACAAAAATTACTAGTCATGAAAAACCTGTTACTTAATCTTAAAACAATAGCAGTTTCAGAGCTACACTCCCATTTTAATTAAATACAATAAAAACAACTAAAATTTCATAAAAAATTCTAAAACTGAACATTTTACAGCATATATAAGCAACAAACTATCTATGAAACTGGGCAATACGAGGAAAAATCAGAAATGGATGTATATGTATAAATTGTATTAGTATAATACAATTTTTGGAGGGTGAGCAAAAAATTATAAGAAATACAAAGCAATAAATAAATGCCCAACCCTAGTATGAAAAAATATTAAAATTAAGTTAAAAGAAAATCAAAAACAATAAACACAATATAAAATTGTAATTACCTTAGAATGCAACTGCATGTTTTATCTAATGATAAAATAGGAAAAATTGGTTGCACAATAGTATCAAAGATTGTTAAGAGGATTAAAATTTTTTTTTTAAATCATATTATTATTTCATAATTAAATAATGTTCTTAAAACATCATAACTACAACACTGGGAAGGATGGAATGTAGCAGATAATTATGATTTCTTATCTAAATGAGTTTAAGTTAAAGAGAGAAAAGACCTCACTAATATCCAAACCAGAAAAAAAAAGTATTATTACAGGTCATATACTTATTAAGTATATTATACTTGGATAATATTTCAAAAGCTCTCAATAATGTCAGATAAATAATTAACCAAACTATAAATCAATATTAACTCAACACATTCTATCAATTTTATATGGTTCCAAAGGACAATGACCCTATAACTGTGTAAATTGAGTAACCATGAATGTACTGAAAGTGACATATCCTCTTTTCTTTTGTGAAATTTTAAACTGTCAAGTCATTGATTATTTTATTTTTGTGATTTAAATAATTTCATGCAAAAACAATATTGTATATTTCCAACAATAAGAGAATAAAAAGTTTTGTAGTTATTATTAACAGTAGTATAATATTTTATAAATAAATGGTATAAGTTAGGTAGAAACTGAGCACCAAGAATAAAGACAAAATAAATCTACATCAGAATTAGTTCATTATAATTCGAGCATGCATAATTCAAAAATACACTGCTACATAAGACACCATAACTTGAAAATTCTGACCTGCAAGCATTTAAAAATGAAAACATCAGCTTACTCAATCCCATAGACTACTATGATGAAAAAACATTTAAAAGAAAAATCAAGGATACGAAACAATCAGTGATTTCAATACCAGTTTACTTACACCAAGTTTATGAAGTCTAAAACCAATGTTTAGAGTCAGATATGAATGAAAGAAATAATCAGAATAGACTTTAAATTGTATCTGAAGCAAACTATTAGAATAGTTTATCAATACTCTCAACAGTTAAATTTTTACTACCATCAGAATGATTTAAATAGAACATAATAAAATAGATTAAATAGATTATAATAAAGAAAATAAAATAGAACATGATGTACTTGACCAAATAGTAAAAGAAGAAACAAAATTGGAAAGAAATCTTGGTAAATAATGATTTTCAAAGAAATCCTGGTGAAACACTGACATAGATAACGAGTACTTACGACATGACACCTTTGATGATATCCTCTTGAACACTTGTCACAAATGATAATATCATTGTCTGTTTCGGTTTGAGATACTTTGCATTTGACGCACATGATTCCCAGACCTGTAGAGAGCTTTGTTAGCTTCGAGTAGTTTGACCAACTCTCGGTGTTGTCCCCGAATTTGACCTGGCATTGCTCCCTCAAAGAATCAATCTATAAAAATTGAAATTAATATCTGCTACACAGAAAACTCAATAATAAAAGAATAAAATCGCACAGAAACAACCAAAAGTTAAAAGTAAATGTTTAATTTCAAAATGTAAGAAGTAAAATACCTTAACAACAGTTCCCAAATAGAAATTTCCATCCTTCTGTTGCATGAGGACTTCATCACCAACAGAAAATGATATCTTCTCTTTGGTTGTACTATCTGGTGGTGGGTGTTCTCCATGAGTATTATCCTAGATAAGAAAAAAGATTTTGAGAAAACCTTAGAACATTAACAGACGATGGAATAAACAATTACTTATAAACAGAAAAGCAATAACTTCCCCAAATAAAGAAGCTCTTCATATTTGAGAATCTATATAAAACATTTACAGTAAACTTTAATTCGAATTAAGATAAAAAGAATAAATGTAACGTACCTTTCTTTTAGACATGATCGGAATTCGGATATATACGAAGAACTGTTTTCCCCAGTTTGGCAATTCTTTCACCTAACTATAACGTAAACTGTAGTATTAGTTTGCTCGCACATTTGTATTGCAATTAATGTGGCTGGACTTAAGAAACTTACACCGTAAACATTAAACCAAACTCTAAAACTTCGTCAGCCATGTTTAAAGCTAACGAGTTGAACTGCTTCTAGGGGCTGTATGGCAGTGAAAATAGCGGCAAATATTCTTGTCGAATTTTTTTCATTACAATTTGCCTGTTTTTTCCTGTTATCGAGCCGCGAATCGTAGCAGAAGATTAACTGTAGCATAATTATGCCGAAACCTACCACATTTTAAATTATAAGCGGTTTTAATGCAGATTTCGGTTACGTGCTCAGGTTACTGTTTATCTTGACAACAATTTAAAAACTGTTGAGTTACTTATCAGGAAAGAGTCGTTAAAATGGATTCCAAGGTAAAATTTTAAGTTCACTTTCGTTTTATTAATAACTTCTCTCTATTTATTTATTGTTATTTTCACTTTCATTCAAATTTTATAACTTCAATATTTTATCTTTATCATTTCTTCTGAATCAATGTGCCATAACTATTTTAATTCTTTAATTTAAATGTTAATTGTTTTAGGATTGGGCACAGATGCCTGTTTGTACAGCTATGGATACTTTATCCTCAGCTCTCAAAAGTAACATCATTCCCAATCAAGAATATCTTCTCCAGGGCAGTGTCTTAGATTCGGCTGTGGAAGTTCTGTTGCATCGCCTGAGAGGACTTTGTGACAATGTGGACACAGGACCGGAGACATTTCACGATCATGAAATGTGTTTCAGTATATGTTAGTGTCCCATACACATACAAGTGTTGTTATTCAGTTTGCAAGCAGATCATTAATTTCATTGGTGTTTTAGTAAATGTAGAAAGTGGTACAAGTCCTCAACCCTTGCTGTTAAGAGTAAGACGAGCATTGGATTACCAGGATATGCCCTGGCAACTTAGATATATCGGGCAGCCAGAAGGAACAGGTTCGTCCAATTATATTTTAGTCTAGTGAATTAGTGAACTTATATCTTATGAAATATGTTTATTATATTAATTACTTAATGCAACAAAAATGGAATCTATTTTCATTGTTGGAACAATAAGTGTAATTAGTAATTAATAGATTATTATAAACTACTTTTATTTATTTGAGATAATTTATTATTAAATATGATAGAGTACTTTTAGCTGAACACACTACTGTTGATTCATATATAAACACCTTTTTCATTTTTTATATGTAATTAATTTCATTAGTACATTTTTTCAATAACTAGTTGCAGGTCTGATTTTACAAAAATAAAAATATTTAATCATATCAGGTCCATAGATTTGGAGAGTATTAAAGTATACCATTAGTTTTAAGAAAGCTTTTTACAGCAAATTTATGCATTACTTATGTACATTTTGAAGTTTAAAGCAATTTTTAAAAATTAAGTTACAATGAAATTGAGCATTGTTCAGGTAATGGAAACAGTTTTGTTTTATTTTTTTAAACAAATATGTTTTTCAGGAGATAAATCACGCCCAACGATAGTCAGAAGTAGTATTGACATCGGTACCACATCTGCAGTTGTAGATTTCCTCACAGAAATGGGTTGCAGAATGGACTTTGAATATATTGTCAGAGGATACATGTTCCGCAAAGGCCGTATGAAAATTACTGTATCAAAAATATTTAAGGTAGTAATTAATTATCATAGTATCTTATGTTATTAATTTTAGATATCATCTATTTATTGTTTAAAGTCACTTAGTAATTTTTTCATGGAGCTGATCTCTTATCTATGTTTTTGTAAATTTCTACCCATTTATTAAATTACCCTTTAATTTTAGTATATAAAATATTACTATGCAATCAGCTGACAAAATGTTATATAAATTTTGTAGGTATAAAGTTATTAGTTATTGAAAAACAATCATGGTATTTTATCTTATTGTAATAAACAATTAATAAAAAGTTTTTAGCTATAATTTATTTTTTAACAAATTGTTTGTAGCACAGTTATTTTTAAGAAATATTATTCTAGTAACATTTTTCTATTTTTCCAATGTTCAAATTAGTTAGCCTCGTGTTTGTTAATTTTTGTATTATTTTTTCAGATGGGCCAAGGTAAGCCACCAGAAAGCGTTGAACCGATATCTCAGTCATATTTGGTCGAGCTCAGTGTTCTTGCTCCAAGTGGTCAAGATGCCATTGCCGAAGATATGAAAAGTTTTGCCGATCAGTTAAGGCCGTTAGTCATTCTTGATAAAGTAGATTATAAACGTTTACCAATGCCTATAGGTTAGGCATCTGATATATTTTATCAAAATATGCTCTTGAATAACATTGTAAATAAATTACTAGCTTGAGGAAAACATTTAAAGACTGAATAGTTTCTGAATTCTTTATATTTATTTATACGATGTAGTGTGAAACATCCAAAAATGTATAGTCTTTAAATATATATATCATCGTTTTATTGGGAAAAAGTCACTAAGTACATTTTTATGAATTATGGCCTTATTTACTGATACAAAAACACATTGTTGCACAAAAACGACACCAATCCTTTTATACGTATTAAATATTTATACCCGCTTTACTATGATTTTATTTCACTGACGGAAAATCCATCAAAGTAATTTGCCAATTCCTTCTGCCTTGGCAAAATCCAAAACCATCTTATATTTATAAATATTATTCAAAACATGAAAGTGTTTAATCAACTGATACTTTTGAGTTACCTGGTTGCCACGGACTGCTATCCACCATTATTTATAACCTAAACACTGATAATACCTACCTTCTTATTCATATTTATGGAAATTAAAAGAAAGATAACAATAAAATAAAGAAGAAGAAGAAACAATAAAATAGAAAGAAAGATAACAAGAAAAGAAAATAAAAAAAACAATAATAAAACACTTTTATTTTACATTTTAAATACACTCTAATAGATTTGTGGCTTTCTCTCTTTTATTTTTATAACAAAACACTCATCAGTTTCCCGAATAAACATCTATTCTTCAAGAAGCACTCCCTACATGATTTTTTATTCTAGAAAAGACTTTCGTCTGTCAGGCCCTCCAATTTTTTTAGTTGGCCTATATGTTATAAAGGTAATTCTTAACCCCTCTGACCATGTTCCTTTTCTTATAAAGTTTTTTTCCTGCAACTTTGACGAAAACTTTTCCATTTGGTCTTTTTTTCAAATTCCATTTTATGACTTTCTTCACACGATTTCATTTTTTAAATTATTCCAAACTTCGAAAGTATTTCACAGCTTCTTCTTCCAAAGAGGGCAAATGCCAAAGTGTTATTATATCCACTTTAATAAGAAAATAACAAAACAAAATACTAAAAACTATTGAATAACACACATATAATTAAGCAGAGATTAGTGATAAGAAGGTAGGTTCTGCGGCGACCAGCTAAATCCCTAGTACCAATAAAATTAATCATTTAAGTGAAAAAAAACAAAAAACAATGCTTCAAGAACTTAAAAACACTTTCTTAACAAAGTATGTTTTAACTGTTTCAATAAGATATTTTATATTTAATTATTATAATTATAGTGAAATCATATTTTTAAGTTAAGCAGTTATCTGAACCTTGATGTTTTATCTGCTTAAACAAACATGTACAAAATATAGCGTGAAGCTTTAAAAACCATTTCTTTGTGTTTAATTTGTATCTTAATATACCGCATGCTATAAGACTTCATAAGTCATTACAAAATCCACTTAACACTTGCAAAATTTAACTGAAGAATATAAAAAAAAAATAATATAGAAAGACAAGAATATTAATATGACGAGTAGTTTTAAATTTATATAAAGTTTTCACTTAATAGAGATTTTCATATAATCTCTGTTTTATTTGTTTCCAGTAAATGGTTGCAATGTTTTCTTTTTAACTTGTTAATATTCAGCATTCAGGTATTTGGTTTAAATTTTAAAGTGGCATTAGCACATTGCAGGAATGTGTTTTTTTTTATTTTCTTAAAGCAGTATGTATTTGTATATATTTTTATTATTTGTAATTATTATTCATTTTAAAGTTTATCATTGTTTTAGGCTGTGAAAATAAACTTGTTTTATAATTTAATTTTGTTTAATTTCTTCCACTACCAAACCCTGAGCTCTGTTTTAATTTTGGCTTAAGATAATAAGTTTTGTTTTGTGCAGTCGGCTGTTAATGGACCTACAATAGAAGCTACTCAGAACCTTGTAAGAATAAATTTGTAGAAAATCGTAATTATTTTGTCAAATATTTAATTTCACAAACCAATAAGAATTGCCTCAATCCTCGGTTTCTATTCTATGGGAATATGAATTATAATACCATATTTAAAATTTATAGGTTTTGGTGTAGGATTATTCCTAATTCTTGAGCTACGCTGTTCACAAAAAATTTTTTGGGACTTATTATTTGGACTCAGAGAACTTAAAATTGTGTTTATCCATTGAATTTTTGATATTCAAAATATACTTTTCCTTATGAAAAAGATTAAATTTTATTTTGGGATATTTAGTCCCATAAGAATAAAGTGACATTTATGACAAAAAAGAAACATTTGTCTGGCAGTACAAGAAAAAAAAAATTAAGTAATGTAATGAATTAACCTTAAATTTTAAATAAGTATTGATAATATATAAGTATCTGTAAGATAACAGTCAAATGAAGGTGACAGCTCTTAAATATGAACATTTTATTAGGTGAGGAATTCCAAAAAAAGGTAGCATGCATGATAAAGCATGTTTTAAAAGAAACAGTTCTATGTGAGGAAATAAACAGGTTTATGGGCAGGGATCTCTTGTTAAATGAATGGACAGAGGAGCAAGGAATAAACAATTCAAGAAGGTAGGATAGTTTTTTAATTGAAAAGATTCGGAAAAGGAATACACCTAGAAAATATTGCTGCCGGAAAACGGATTAAGCCATTTCAACTTGGCATACCAACTGGAGATGTGGGAGCTTCTAGGGACTCCAAAGATGAATGTAATTAAACAATTCATTAATCTCTTCAATCTGATATCAAGCGCACCAGACAACCCACCCTATACAATGCAGCCATAAAGGAAGTGCAGAAACTAGGAGCTGGCAGGTTTTTAGGGGCATAGAATCACGGAATCACAGGAACTCTTTTAGGGTAGCAATAGATTTTCAGATAATTTGGGAAATATGATCATTCCAGGACAGATATTGATCGAAAGTTACTCTTAGTTTTCTAACAGAGGTATGGAAAGGAATAGGTAGTTCTTGAGGTAGAATAGGAGATAATAAGGAATGGAATTAATAAGATGCTTGGCGCCAATGAGAATGGCTTTGTCTTCTCAACCTTCAACTTTAAATAATTATTCGCTGCCTAAGTGATAATACTGTCTATTTCTTCTTGTAGGATCTTTTCCGATCGCCTTAAGCATCCACCTTGGGCATCTCTGTACAAAGACACACAAAAATTACAATATGTCTAATTTTCAATGCTATTCAGCAGGAGGGGAGGTCCATTTCCCAAGGTCAGTAGCCCATACCCCTCTTAAAAAATTTATTGCCCTCATTAAAAACTATCCAAAAATGGTTGTATTATAAAAATTGCTGTTTATATTTACTGTGATCTGTTTTTACTTTATATAGTAAGTAAAAGGATAGCAATCTTGAAAATTTTCGAATTTGTGTTTTCAAAAGAAATAAACGTTGTGATATCCCCTAAGTCCAAATAACGAAGCCCTTCAAAATGGTCTATGTGTGATCTGCTTAGTTCAATAACGAAAAATTGTACAATACTTATATTACGCATTCAAGATAGGTATATATCTGGGATGTTAAAAAGATTTCATCAAAAGAATGAAATTTACTAGAAAGACATTCAAATTCAAATAAATAAGGCATATCGCTCAAAGATAATCAATTTCAAGATTTTGGAGGGACTAAATTGATTTTATATTCAGTAATCAAAAATAAAATATATGTTTGCCACATAAGGCCTCCACTTGTTTTGTCTTTATTCATTAATTATTTTCGTGATGAAAAAAATGGGAATAAATAAGACTATATAATCAAATTTAAAAAAAAATCTTTTAATCTAAATTGATTAATTTGCAAAAACGAAACTTAAATCATACAAAGAAGTTAAATAACTGTGATTACACTTGATAAGAATTAAATTCATCCTCCTTGGAATATTATAACCTCCTTCGATTGTTCACATCAGTGCCGCCTTTTGTGATAATAAAGAGAAGTTTTGAATTATTGACTCGAATTTAGAATTAAACCTGTTATCGAGGCAGTTAGAGGGTAAGCTTTCTCACTCAAATTCTCAACTATATCAAAATGGTCCATTCCTTTTAAATTCATCAGTTCCGTGCTTATATTCTGTGTTCTCAAGAACTAGAACATAAAAAAAAAAATTAACTAATTTTTTTAAGCCAACTCTGCATTTAGTAATTTTCTACATAAAAAGAAAATGCTATTACCTTTTCATAATCTGATGTCTGATTTTTAAAACTTGGTGAATCATTCTCAGCTACAGCCAAGAGAATTTTAAAATCTTGTTTCAAAACTGTAAACCACTGAAGATCTTTGTTGATTGGACTTAAAACAAAGGCTTTAGCTCTGTAAATATTTAAAGTGTATGAAATGTTATGAAAATTATCAATTAGGAGTTGTAACGTCTTATAATTTACTATGCAAAATTGGAACATATATTTAAATTTTATTTTATTAACATTTTTCTTATTTCTTATAACATTACGTCTTTAAATCTATTTTTAAAAATAATGAATAATGCAAGTGGTCTTGAAATATTTTGACAGTTTGTAATACATGTCTATCGCAGAGAAATAACCCAGTAATTTTCCATTAATCAGTTATTAAAACCAAACTTTTCATGAATATTACCGATTTAGTCAACAGTATAGGTTTTGTTAATTAATACTTTGTCATTATTTATGCCATTAGTTTTTGTACTTAATTTTTTATTTATTGTTATAGATAAATCAAACAAAAACAACCATATGATAAATCACAGAGATGGTCCAGGAATCGGTCAGGAAATTGTTTTATTTTAATTTTGTTAGGGATTTGATACCATGATGAAATAAATAATAATGGCAGCAATATCAATTGTAGAAGATTAACAGATTTATGATTTAAGATTAATAGTTATGATTTTTATAACTATTATTGTTACTAATATGAATTATGTATTTTTTGTAGATCATGGCACGTCCTGCAGGCTATTCCAGTGATGAAGAATATAGTGGTGATGATGATTATTTATCAATTGAATATGAGGTTACAAAACAAAAAAAAGTTTTTATACAACAGGAGGAAGCGAAAGAACCTATAGAAGACAAATTTGTTTCTGCAGTAATTAAGGGTGATATCGAGGAAGTAAAAAAACTTGTTAATGAAGAAATTGTGAATTACAAGTCCCAGAAATTCGGCTACTGGTCTGCCTTGATGCGTGCATGTTCACAAGGCAATGCAGAAATGGTTGAACTATTGTTAGAGAATAAGGCCGATCCAAAGGATCATTTCCAGCTAACAACACCACTGCATTGTGTTTGTGATTCTAGTTCTAATGATGATATGGCCCTTCTGAATTGTATTAACCTTTTGCTTGAGCACGGAGCTCATATAAATGCTAAAGATTGGTACAGCTTAAGCCCACTTTCATTTGCTGTTAAACAAAATAGAGAAAAATTAGTCCTTAAGCTTTTGAGTTTAGGATGTGATGTAGATAATGAAGATTCTGATGGCTGGACACCTATATTTTATGCAGTTGATGGAGGACACACCAATATGGTACAAATCCTAAAAGATGCTGGAGCAAGCATCTCCAGAATTGATAATAGAGGACGCTCTCTGCACGATATAGCTTCAGCAAAATTTTTTAAAGTTATAGCAGAAATGGTCAATACTTCGGACAAGCTAGTAGAAATCGATGATATCATTGATAAATTTAAGAATTACCGAAGAACGAGCCATTATGAATATATATTAGCAGAACTTCCAGATAAGAAGAAAGGTAGATTTTTCGGATTTCCTAGTGATGCTGCTCGGTGGATTCATGGCATAGGATTGGAAACTTTAGTTAAATTATTTATAGATAAGGAGATACAATTAGGACAAATATTGACCATGGGCGACAAAGAGCTTAAAGAGATCGGGATTATATTTTCATACGATAGGATAAAAATCAGGTACTGTGTTCAAAATTTTCATCAGCACAGCTGGGGTAAAAACTGTCTAAGAGATATTAAGAATGAATTTGATCTCAACTTTGCTGCTCAGATTATCTGTAATAATATTAAACAAATGCATATAGTGAGTACAGCTACATATTTTTGGAAAAAACATGGTGGCCATGAATTATGTCGCAATAAAGAATGTATAAGCAAGGGAATCTACTATGTAAAATTCTTACGGAAAGAGATTGATGCCATTAAAAAAATACTTTGTGAAATTGAAGAAGAAAATGATATTAAGCCGTGTGACCTGATTCTTCCTCATCAGAAAGCAACCGGTTCCTGGTTTGGTAAAAAAACAATCATTTTCACACTGACCATGGTTGCGGTTTCATTTAAGGCTAGGAAATATATTTCTCATTCTATTGGTCTCAAATTACCTTTTTAAATTGAAATTCTTCATTTCTACAATGTGAAATTGTTAGTTTGTCTGATCTGGTGCGTTACGAAAAAAAAGTTATAAATTTATTAAAGTAAATTAATCTCTGCAAATCTTTCTGTATAAAACTTGCCTTAAGTTTATATTAAGAACTAGATGGTGGGGTCGGATTCATGCTCAATTCTAGATTAAACCTACCCCTCTATGTTTGGCTAACTATTCTTGGAATAAGGTTAATTATTCCTAAAAATAAAATTAATACAGTACTGGTATTACACCATGGCTCAATAAGAATCAGGAATACTTCTTTTTTGTTCCTGAAATAAAGTGAATCTAACTTTAACCACTAATTATTTTAACCGCTAATTTGGCAACCAGCTTGATGCAGCCTTATATAATACGCATTTTCTTCTTATCAATTGCAAAAATCTTTTTTGTTTAAGTTATTAAAGTATTATAAGAACTTGAAAAAAATAAAAAAAATTCTACTATGTAAAACTGTTTAAACAATGTATATAACAAATTACTTTTGAAAAAAAGATCAAAGGAAACTTTTCAAGATCACTAACAGTGGCTGTGCTATTTGTAAATTTATGTTATTCCTAACTTAAAGTAACTAAATCATAAAGCAGACTACAAACCAAAAGTTTTTAAGTATCTTATTTAATTACTATAATAATAGAACTGATTATGTTAAGGTATATGAAAAAAGAAATGGTACTATTACTTATAATGTTTTGTTTGTGAAGTTTATAAAATATTTGTATTCTTTAATATTATTATATTTATTATGGTGGTTTCTAATTTATATAAGCCATTAGTGTGATTTATTTTTATGTCTATTCCAAAATGTGCTTTTTCTAAATATTTTTTTATTTATAATACCATTTTCTCAAAAAATTGGTAAAAAGAACTAAAGAAAGAGAAAAAAAACTAAATTTATTTGAAGAGTTTTTTTCTTGAATTAAACCAAAAACAAATTGTCTCAAAAACCATTTAGAAATTAAATAACCACGTCATAAGAAAAATGACACTTATTACCCTTTAAATCTAATATCATACTCTATATGATAAATGAAAAATGTTACTATTAATTATAAAGCCATATTTTAAATACTAAAATTAATAACAAATTTATATATCTATTATTTATATACGATGCTGTCACATGTATAATATATTCAAACCCATAATTTTGTATCCAATTTTAAGATAACATTGATTTTGAAATGATTTAGATTGTATAAATAATTCAGTACAGTTTCGGTAAGTTCCTAAATTCAGTGATGAGCTCATTGACGACATTGTATCTTCCTCTGAAACATTGCCATCAATGAACTCAGCGCTGAGTTAGGAACTCACTTTTTGATTAAGTTAATAGTTCGTTAATAAACATTATATTCTGTAATTGAGTTTTTTACAAGATTGTTAATTTTATATATTTAATTATAATTTATTTATACCAAGTTTTTTTTTACTTAGAATTTTATATTATAGTCAATGAGGAAAAATCTCTATTTTTGTTAATTACGAGATATAATTTTTTGTTTTTTTAATTCATAAAATAAAGACTATTTTTGTTTAAATGATTTTATTATTAAAAATGATATCACCTTTATATGTCACAGAATATTTTTATGTCATATATAGTTGTTCAAATGAAATACTAAATAATAATATGTTGGTATAAATTCTCTTAACCAAGTAAAATTAGTATTTATTGAACATAATTTTTTAATGTTTAAAAATAAATAAATATTTATTAATCAACTCTGGACCTTGTAAACTTTACTATTGTAAAATTATACGAAATATAATAATGATGGAGTATAGATAGATTTATGATGGTGAAACTACATTCAAACTGTTTTGAATTAAAAAAAACAAAAACAATGAGTTAGTAGAAAAAATATCTAGGAAACAGAAAATGGAAGTATTCTATGCTGTGTGACCCTGCTCAAAATTTATTGTTAAAATTTTTACATTTCTTTATAAAAATATGACTATAAGACTGCAGCAGTATGTTAAATATATCTTTACCCTAAGTATCATCTGTCAAACTTGAAAATGTTGCTGTATTTCTTTTTTCTATTAAAGAAATACACCTGGTTGTCATTGAAGAAAAATTGAAATTTTTGAAAACAAATTGTCAAATTTGATTACCACTGTATTATTTATTGTATATTTTTTTTCTTCAGCGCTATGGCCCATGAAGGACCTTGTCCACAACTATTTTCCTCCACTCGGAGCGATCCTCTGCTGCTTCTCTCCAATATCTCGCATCTAGTGACCTTAGGTCTGCCTCTACACTCTACATTGTCCGTCCATTGTAGTTAATGCCTGCCTCTTACTCTTTCCTCTTTTGGATGTTCCATCCAATATCTTTCTGAAGGACCAATAACAATTATTTGCATTTCCAATTCTTGGTTTTATTTCTTCTTCCATTTTATAATTATTGCTTACGATTGTACCAAGATACTTAAATTTCTTCATAGGCAGGACAGACGCATTAGGCGGTTCTCCCATCATCCATTCTATGGAGGTGACCCAACCATTTCAGACACTATTCTGACATAGTCCGACAACTTCATATTGCCATATAAGCAATATAATTCTTTATTCTCTCTAAGCTGATATACCCCATTTTCTCTCACAGGCCCAAAATGCACCTTAATATTTTTTTTCAAACATTGTATGTCGACGTTCAAAGTTACTGATTTTTTAAGTGCCCACCCCTCACATACATATTTTGCAACTGGTCTATTTAGTGTCTTATATAGCCTTAACTTGGTTGAGCGGCTTACCAATCTAATTCTCATGAGACAATCTATCGGAAAAAAAATTTATTAGCCTAGAAAATGCGTGACTGGATCTCCTTCCCCTCTAATGCTAAATTAAACTGTGCGTCAAGGTACTTAAAACTACACATTGGAATGTGTAGTTTCCGACTATAACACATGGAAGTGCCTCGGTTCCTTTCTTCTCAAAACCATAATCTTGGTATTTTCTTCATTAATCACTAGACCAAATCTTCTGGCTTCTCAAACCCATCTTTGACATTAAGGAGAGACCTTCCAGCTATCACCACATCATCGAGATATGCTAATAATTGGACCCCTTTGTAGAATATATTGCCATTCTTATCCAGACAGGCTCTTGCTACTATAGTTTGTAGCACAGACGGATCTACGGGGAAGGGGAGGGGCTTTCGGGGTGAAGGCTCCCCCCCACCCCAAAATGGTAAAATATAACCATGTTTTACAGAAAACAATATTAAAAACTATCTCTTAAAGTATTCTTGTTTCTGAAATTACATTTAATAGGACTTCAAGAACCACTTAAACACCATTTCATATAGGTAGTTAATTTCTTTTTTTTTCAAATTAATTATCGTTACATGTACATGAAAAAAAAATCTTTCGGGCTGAGCCTCCCCAAAATTAAATCCTGGATTTGGAGTACGATGCTGAAAAGCAGCGGTGCTAGAGAATCACCTTACCTGAGTCCAGTGTTTATCTGAAATGCGTTGGTCAGCTTACCATTAACTTTAACCTTATTGCTTGTATCATTCATTATACATATTACCAGTATGATGATTTTTAAAGGAATATTCTTCTCCTTCATTGCCTGAAACAATATATCTCTCAAAACCGAGTCGTAAGATGCCTTATAATTAATGAATAAATTTCTCCAAACTTTCAAAACTACGTCCTCACAAAAGACATCCACTTGCTGAAGCTTTCCTGAATATCATATACTCCCCGTATGCCAGAAATGGCTAAGTAAGGTGGGGAAAAAAAAAGAAGATATATACTCTGTTTAATATGAGCCCTGCCTTCCTAATTGCCTCTTCACATTCTGTAAATGTCACTAAAAGCGGTTTTTCCACATTTTTTTACCTCATTGTCGGCATATGCTAGTTATTGTAATATATTATTATATCTATTTCATATTGAAAAAAGATTAAACTGCAACGCATCCAAGACAATTCACCAAATCACAAGCCACAGTTCCTTAGGATTTCAATGACGAGGGATAAGCAGTTAGTAAAACGCTAACAATTATTATAAATATATCATTTCTTCCTGAGTAAAATTAAAATTCTTACTAGTAATTAAAGGGAAAAAAATGTCATGATAACAAGTAATTAAATTAATTTAAGTTTCTATGCTTACTCATCTAATCTCAAAGGCTCGTTTACATAGGTCTGTACTATCGGAACTAAGTCATAAATTCCACTTATGAGGATAAGGCCTTTGAAGATGTTTTGAACTTTCTGATCAAATCGTTTGAACCATTCTTCATCCAATAGAGAAGCAGCAAGATGTGCCCCAGCAGAATGCCCTCCAAACCAAACAGACCTATTCAAATAGTACATGATATATCTTTTATGGAAAGATAATTTACAACAGCAAAATAATAAAGTTCCATTAACCCCTATCATGCCATGTAGGAAGGTTGAGATTCATCCTGTGATTCATCGCTACAAAATAAATTTCAACCACCCCAGGCCGGATTCAAATTGGCATCGCTAAAGTCGAGAATATTAAAATTTACGCTTTAATGCGCTCAGCCAATACGATATTCAGTAAAAGTACACATTAAATATTTTAATATCAACATTATTATTACCTGGTGCCTGATTGAGTAGCCTCTTTCAGAACATATTCGCCCAATCTCTTTATCTGTTCTATTATATCACCGACTGATGCTGTACAAACAATTTTTATTTATTTTGATAGAACTTTTAGTTAACCTTATGTTATTTTGATTTCTTACACATCACTCACCTTCTGGAGCTAAACAATAACCTGGAACAAAAACCCTTATTCCTGATTCCACTAGCGGCAGGACTGGGTAATTAGAAATATCTTTGCTAAGTTCCTGCCAGTATCCACCATGAATGTAGACAAATATTGGTGAGTCTGAACAGTTTTATGATCATGTAAAAGTAAAAGAAATATCTTCCATACTTCTGAATAAACTTTAATGTTACCTTTTGATAGTGAAGTGCCATAAATATCTACTCGGGATGTTTCTTCTGGCCCGTATGAAATGGTTTCAAAAGGAACCGATTCCTTTACTAATTTACTCACTAAAATTCAAATAAGAAATCATTAAGTTAAAGCTAAACACCGACTGTATCAGTAGTACACAGAGAAACTTAGAAGATAACATGATCCATTAAAAAAAAATTATGAAAAAAGAATTTCCTCTTTTTAATATAAAAAGGATTTGAATTGTAGCTAATGCCAATTATTCGGATGAAAACACACATGATAAGGTCAAAACATCGTCAAACTTAATACACACTATTAATAACTGTATACTGTGTATATAACATAACCATATTGACATTCTTCCATCAAAACTACTTTTAAATCTCCAAGAGATTATTATAAAGTTAAGCATCTCTACATTCGTTTTAAAAAATACTACAGGTGCCATTTTATTTATAAATAACTTTGGAAATTTTAAAGGGTGATTGTCTAACGGACAATGACGTCCTTTTTGGCACCATGGGGCAATGTCAAGTCCCCCGAAAAATTTAATTTATATCTTAAGTGATATTATAATTTTATTTTCAATAAATCTCCAATTCAGTTGCTTTATTAATAGTCTAAAATTAATTATTCTCATAGGCTTTGTAAATTTGGTTTAATCCTTAACAAGTGGTGGGCACCCTGTGGAAATTTCCTGGCTCTTAGGATGGTACTGCTTAAGGGTACATAATATATAACCTTGTTTTATATTCATTTCAGATGTTAGTATTACTTTTTAAAATCCCTTCTTTGTTACTAAATCTATACTCCGAAGGTAAACATGTCTATTTTTGTATTTATTCAAGGGAGCTAATTTTCCATAAATTTGAGCTATTAAAATGTGTCTCTTAGTTACTAAATTATTTAATAAAAGAGTGATTCAATTTGCAGCAACAATATTTCAGTTCATTCTATTCCATATCTAAAGAAAAGAAAAATTAAATAACTTAATTTTCATGTTAAGATTTACTGTGGATGTTTTTGATGTGCTTCCTCCTATAAAATTTCTTTTATAATAGATATTACTGGTTTAAAAAGACAAAAAAAAACTGATGTGGTATTTTAGTAATCAAGCTCTGATATACAATCCTTGTGGTTAACAGGCATTCTTGAATTTGAAAGTCTGACCTCAATCTTGAATTCTACAAAATAAATAAATCCTAAACAGTGAGTTTAAAGTGAATCTGGATGATTTTGAAGTCATTGGCGCCATAATATAATTTATTTTGTATTACTATATTGATTACACTCTCAATGACTGAAAAAAAAACAACCATAGATAAAAACAAATGAGGAATTCTGGTCATTTTTTTTTTTTTAAATCCCTGACAGCGTAACATCAATTTAGTAATTTTGTATTACTAAATTGATTATACTGTCAGTTATTAAAAAAAACTAAAATTTCTTATATATTTATTTATAATCATTTGATAGATAAAGGCGTTGATGACCTTGGGGTTTTATGCCTTTAAGCCCTAAACAACAAATTTGAATCTAGATTTTCATAGATCTAAAAGGTCAGTAAAATCAACAGGAGGAAATATATATACGAATCTAATAAAAAATATATCAAATATATATAGTTATTGAAAAAAAAATTATAATTATTTTTAAACATTAAATTAAATAACATTTTGTTTTAAAGAAATAAGCATTAGATTTTTTTTTTGGCACTGCAGTAATAATTTAGAGATTAAAGTAGAAGGAATAGTTAAATATTTACAGAATTGTTTACAATAAATGTAAACAAAAATTTTGAAATGGTATTATAAATATCTGATATTTATAAAAAAGGATTACCACAAATACATATACATCCAATATTCCCTCATTATTGGATTACTAAGTGGTGTTAAAAAAATAAATGTTAATATATGATTCTATTTTATAATACCTCTCAAACTTTGGGTTTTTTAAATTCAAGTGTAAAACAGGATAATTCTCCTTCATAATTGATGATTACCAAACATGAAATTGAACAAGCGAAACTTTTAGGATACACAGCTAAATTTTTCAGTACCCACATCAAGAGAGAAGAATATTGTTAAATATTTTCTAACATCTTAGGTCAGTTTCTTAAAAGTCATATTAATTACTGGCAGTACTACAATCAAGTGTTTTTATTAAGAATGAAATATATAGCATATTCAAACCAATTGTAATCTTTTCAAATTCAAATGTAGCTTTTTTCAATTCAAATGAAACCTTAAAAGGGTTACATCTGAAATGGAGAAGGTTAAGTTTGATTTGGAAAGGGTTAAATTTGAAATGTCAAAAGTTACGATTGATTTAGAAATACTAAGCTTTCAAAGAATTATGCAGAGGTCAAGCAAGATATTTAAATAAATTAACAGAATAAGCATAGGACAATACAATGAAATATAGGTTGTTTTTTTTACGGCACCCGACTTATTTCTTGTGGAATTGAATCCACAGTCAATCGTCTCCATATCATTAACACAATAAGATTTGTTATCCCAGAAAATTGGTATTCCTTGATAAATACTAATTTTTAATAGTAGAATGATGGTTGACTGTAGTGAATAATTTTATAAAAATAAATACATTTATTTATTTTTTACGGAACACCCCAACCTACTTCTCTTCAATAATAGTAATTTTATTTAATATTATGATTCAAGTCCTAATTAAATACCATAACAGAATTTTTTTATTAAAAATCCCATCACAAATTTATTAAATAAAAGGTTTCATGCCTTTTGAAACAACTTCTACATGTTTGCTCACAACTAATTCCTTGGAGTATCTTTTAGACCAATGACTCGGCGAATACTGCACATCTAACTAAAAAATATTTTCATAAATATTTCAAAAAAATTAAATAATAACAGATAAACAGTGTCATTATTACATCATGGTCCATGATGCAGACACAGACTAAATCACTTATATCACACAACTGGTCTCTTAAGGCCAAGATATTATATAACTTAAAAGTATACTGCCTTCTGGATATCAATAAACAAGACATTTTTCAGGAATGAAAATTTTATTCAAGTTACAACTACAAAAAAAAATCCATAAAATCGACAATTCAAAGTAAAATAAAAATGCTATAATAATATAAGTATAGTTAAGAATAAAATAAAAAGAAACATTGTTTAGATAAAATGGTAATTTAATACTTAATATATAAAAGTCAATTGTAGAGGGCTTCATTCATTTCTTTTATTAAGGTAAACACGATACCAGCATCTGAAAAATAACAAATATTATATTATAATTTCACTTTATTAAAATTCAACCAATAAAATGTGTTAGTAAATGAATTTATAAGCATAATTTATCAAGTATTGGGAATTTAGAATTTATGAATCATTTTGGGCATTTAAATGATTGACATATTAAAAAAAACTTATTATATAAACTTAAAAAATTGTAGGTTGGTATATTACAAGAAGTTTTAGTTTCTAATTTTTTTAACTAAGCCAACATTACACCGATGTTTTCACTTCAAAATCCTACTATAACGTTTCGATTCGTCGAGCCATTTCCAAGTCTTATCATGTACTTGTCCATTATATTTATTATGTAAAACACATGCGTCTTCTCAGAACAGCCAATATCATGCACGTCGTGTCTATTTTTTAACATATTATGTGTCAGTCCATATGTTGTCAGTTTCATTGTTAATGAGCGACTGTCTCTAAAAGTGTTTGAAATTTAAAATAAATGTAAGTACAATAATAAAAAAATAGCGTTATTTTCAATATGGAACTTTTAAAAGTAAAAAATAAAAAAATGTAAATATAAAGAAATAGATAAGTCGAATCTCACCGTCAGTGTCCTCTTTTTGGAAATAATAAAATTTAATTTTTATGATCACTTACATTTATTTATGTGATCATTTTCAGTTATTTTGCTTTTCAGAAATGATCTGATACGCAAGAAAGCAAAGTGTTGGGGAATCGCCGCTTTAATTTTGCATTGCTATGTGCGGCTGCGAAGGCATATATACCATTTTTTAAAAGTTAAATAAAAACATAAAATACATTTTTGAAAGCTAAGATCTTGCGGGGTGACTCAAAATATCATTTTAAACAAATTTATCCACTTTATAGGACATCTTTGTGGATTTCAGGATACAATGTATAGTAGAAACTCGCGAATGAGTTCCCGCAGTCAAAGGGTTTATTTTGTAACTACTGAGATGAATATGTTATTGGTACACCGAAAACTTATCTACGTTTAAAGCATTAAATAAACTAAATTACCTGATGAAGATCTGCAAAGTTGGGTCTCAATATTAGCTTAAAATAAAAAAGTTTTTCAATACTTTAAGGTTTATGATCACCACATTGGACCATCTCTTTCCTCAATATTATACTAGTCAACCATTGAGTATTCAGAGTACTTCTTACCATATAAAAGAATGATTCATCTCTCCTGAGATCTTATCGTCTTTCTCTTGAGTAAGAGCGCGATCTTCTTACCGGGATGCTGCGTGAGCGAGACCTTGATCTGGATCTCGAAAGCGCCCTCTTTTTCCATGGGGACCTTGACCTAACAAAAACATTTTCTTAACACAACGTAAGCATTTAAATACATTTGTTCCTTTAAAAAAAAAAAAAAAAAAAATCAAATTATAATAAATTAAAGTAAATGAAAATAAAATTATACAACAGATTAACTTCAAAATCACTGAAGCTATCCAAGGGAAAGAAAAAATATAGTAAAAGGTTTGTTATATCGGGAAATTAATAAAAATATAAAATTTACAAAGAATTATTAATATTTTGTGCTTCTTAACTTATTATTTAATTATAAAAATTTGAACTTAGCTTTTAAATTAATTCTTGGAATAGCTCCAGTTAATTAATATATATGTAAAAAAAAACTATTTTGGAAAACTTTAAGTGGTCTGTTTGACCTTTAGATCGGGAGTTTTTTTAACTTTTTTCAAATTCATTCACATGCTCAAGTACCTAAATACAGAAGAGTGTACACGGTGGTTGGTTGAATGGTTGGTTGGTGGTCTAAGGGTTGTTGGTTGGTTGTTTAGATTTTGTTTATAGAGAAAGATGGAGAGTTGATTGGCTGGGGAGCCTTCATGTCGGTAGTAGAAGTAAAGTGATGGTTGATGATGGTGGATGCAAATTGCAAGACGTGACAGCTTCTAGTTGATAAGAGCAAGACTTGACCAAGTCCCTGCAACGTTTTCATTAGCACTTTAAGGTTCAGATTGAATATCTAATTTTTTTTTTTTGTTTTGTTGAAATAAAAACTGATAAAAATCAGACCGTGAAAGCTAAACGATAACACAGTTAAATTCGATACAAAGGGATAAGAAACTTGAAAATGTATTAGTAGGACGGATAAGACTCGACAAACAAAATTAGGAGATGCACAGATGACTTCCCTGGAATTAAAACAAAAATACAATATGTATAGGAAGTGAAAATGGAAAAAAAATTTAATATAACATTAAGGACAAAAAAAAAATAATAATAAATAAATAAAATAAAATTATTGGTTTTTGTTTAATTAAGCATAGAATATGTTTTTCAGTGGATCCTAATAAAAGTATTTTATTATAATTGTTACATTTATTGTTAACATCTCATGTTTAAATGCGGCTCTATCAGGACATAAGAAGTGAAAATTAGTTTTACATTTAACTCTTGTGAATAAAAGAATTGATATGAAGTGTAATACTTAAATTAAAAAAATTATTGATATAAATTAAAAAATAAAAAAATTATAAGAGAAAACTGTTATGACTTCTACAGATAGCAGATACCCTGACCTCAGCCAATAAATCGAGAAGCAAGTCAGATAGCAACTTACTCTAGTTTTTCCAAGAAACTGGTGACTTGGCACTTTCAAATATAGGCCATAGGTTTTAATGGAAACAATTTATATTTTTCCAAATAATAACAAAACATAATAATGCACAATGTTACTTCCTATTTACTAAAAGGCAAATAAAGATTCCGACAATATGAACATATTTAATTAATTGAATTTTTTAAAGATAATTCATTCAAAATGAAAGCAAAAATAGAAAATTAACAATTTTAAATATTATAAAACTTAACATTAAGAGATCATTGAAAGATATATAAAACTTATTTTTAAAAAGAATATATAAAATTGAACTATCATGAAACCAAAAAACATATCCTATGCATAGGTCTATCAGGAAAATGTTACACAATTATTTTTTTAACATAAACTAATTTAAATAAATCCAATGAAAAAAATTAATGAGAATTTAGCATCATCTTCCAACTCGTCCATAAAGTTTAATAATTAAGTACCTAATGAAAACGGCTTTCTTTATTTGCTAAACCATCATTTTATTACCGAATTGAAACACCTTAAAATAAACAAAATAAATTAAATGTAACCAAATCTCAGAATCTCTACAATAAATATCTAAACCCCAACCACTTCTTCATTAAACACCTTGCTTACTTTCCCACATTCAAAACAATAATTTGCTGAATAAATATCAACAAGTGATGGCAAAACAAAAGAAAAAAATTACTCTTTAATAAATAGGTATATCACATACATAGGTAAAAGAAACTGGAACATTAAAATATTAAACACATTACAATGAGGGAGTCTGCAACAGCACATTAGCCGAGTTTACTGCAACATTTTATTGAAATTATTAACTGCAGAAAACATGTATATGTAAAGGGTAGATTTTCTGTTTCAGTGCTTTAATAGTGTTTTATACTGCTTACCTTGACCTCCTTGCCGGAGATCTTCTGCGATTGTACCTTGAACGGGACTTCCCATTAGACATCTCGACAATAATTCTTGCACCACAGCATCTTCTACAAAATTAATATAGAGAATTTGAAAAAAATATAAACCATTATAACACAAAAATTATATAAAATGTAACTTATTTAGTGTAACAAATATGAACTTACGTTCCATCCAGTCCCCTAACAGCATCTTCAGCATCTCTTGGGTCTTCAAATTCAATGAATGCAAATCCTGGAGGGTTTCTTGCCACCCAAACATTTCTCAAAGGCCCATACTTAGAAAAAACATCTTCCAATTCGTTTTTTGAGGCATTGTTTCCCAAATTACCTACGTAAACTTTGCACTGTGGGTCCCATTCACGGTATCTACTCATTTTACTGGGATCTAAAAAAAAAAAAAAAAAAAAATGGTATCAATTAATAAAGAAACATTAATGAATTCGAATTAAATAATGACCGTTTTAAATCTCAGTAAGTACTAATAAAGGAGAACAAAACTTGGTCAAACAACAATCACGGGTGAATTACTAAGTTCAGCTTAACATTCGGATCATACAGCAAAAACTATAAAGTAGAAGATTAAGTGCATTTACTTTGAATTAAGAATAACTGGATGGTCTTAAATAAAGCACGTTTATAAAATAAAACTGAGGAAAAAGTATCACAATATTGAATTGGAAAGTAAAACGCCACTTACTAGTCAGACACCTTGCAACGCCTTATACACCGCAGTTCAGGCAACCTCTAAACACTACAAATCCCTACAGATTTAACACTAAGCCAACATATATTACGAATAAAAACATATATAATAGGTCACCAATATTTATAAATAAGTCAATTATTTTCAATACAATTAATCTCTTTACAGAGCACGCTCTTGTGATATTCAATTTTAAAATGTCTACATTGCAATACTTTTATAAATCTCCTTCTCAACAATAAAGTGAAAAGAAATATTAATCTTATATTTTAATGTCATTAAATACTAAAACTTAAAAATATTGAAATAGGTTTTAAGCAACTCTACTACATGTGACAAAATAATCTTTACTAATTAACCCCCTCCCCGTACGATCGAAACTTCTTGTACTGTTTAATCAACTGTTTTCTGTTTTTGGACTAATTAAAAATAATTTAGTTATAAATAAAGTTCTAAAAATTCTTTAGAGCACAGATACAATTATCTACCTCTAGTAGTGGGTTTATTCCTTACTCAATATTATTTTAAGAGTGCTTGACTATTGATCCATTTCATGACGATTAAAAAAGTAAATTTTCCAAATAATAAATCTACGATTTTAAATTATTATCATTAATTTTTAGATTTATTTCATTTTGAATTAAAAATATATATCTAGGAAGAAAAAACAGAAGAGAGAAGAAATGTATAGAAGTAAAGATGTACGGTTGATTAATTTTTTAGTAAATTATTGAATAAATCGAAATAACCATATCAAATATAACAGTACTATTTCATATTATTGGTAATATTTTAATTTGATGACATAATGATCATAATATTGATATAATAAGGATCGGGAATTTGAAGTGGTCATTTCTTGGACATCGATGTTTACAAATACTTCCGAAAACTTACATCGATGATACACATATATCGATGTCTAAACAACAATGCCCTAAAAAAATGACCAGGAAAAGTACAATGTTGGGACATTGACCTTATAATAAGAGTTCGATGTCCCGTACCTGCATTAATTTTAAAATATGTATTGGAATAAATGTTTTTTTTTCATAATCGAGCGTTAACTGAATTGTTTAGCATTACATTGAAAAGGTTTAGTGGGCCAAAACTACAAGATAAATACTATAGGATGGAAGATGGTACCGGGTGGCAGTAATAAATAGGCTAAATAGTGGCAAAACTATTTTATTAAAAGCCAAAATAAACCCCGGACCATTTCCTTCCTTTATAAAGCAAGGATCAACTATTAAATATTCATAAATACTATATGATTAATTAAAATGACCAACTATTTCTTCTGCTAAACATCGATGTCTGAACACTTATTTCTTCCTTTTAAATTCCATATCTAGACCAATAAACTCATCTCAATCATGTGTTGATAAATTTAAAAAAAATTAAAATGATTTCTTCTCTCTTTCCCATTTCTCTTTTTTAATTACAATCATATTCTATTATTTATAACAAATGATATAAATGTAGGATAAATAGTGAGGTTCTAATAATCTCTATCTTACATATAAAAAGTTTTTCCTCACAATGTAATATTTTATAGGTTGGTAAGTGAAAGTTGTGTGATGCAGTTACACCAAATTTTTGTATTGTATTATATAAATAAAAAAAGGAATTAATAGATTTTATAGAAGTTTCTTTTTACCTCATAATAACAAGTTTTAACTTTTTTTTTTTTTTTTTAAGCGAGAGAATGTATAAAACTCACAAAATTAGGCTCTTTGGTAGGTTACTTTTTTATAACTGTTAAGGATCTCTCAATTATATAAAAAAGTTTTTAGTGACAATGTAATATTTTATTTTCTATATAAAATGGAATAATAAAAAGGGGTCATAATAAATTGAGTTTAAGTGATGAAGAATGCATTTTGTGAAAAAAACTGTATGAAAGACAGGAATAGTTTTGATCAATTAAATGAATAGTTGTATAATTTAAAAAATAGGAATTGGTCCGCTGTTAGGTGGACAGCGGTTACTTCCATAGAAAGTTATAATTAAAAATAATAATGAATACTTTTAAATCTATAATTAATTACTTTTAAGTAATTAGATATTTCGAATTAGTACTAACCTATTAGGTATTTTCTAATAAAATAAACTTTAATGCAATGGCTATAAACATTACGCAAACAGTAAAGTACTACTCAACTAGTGTGTAAGCAAAAATGATAGTGTTCAGTTTTAAATAAAATACAAAAACTTAAATGGAGACTGATAAGTGTTATTTTTTAAGAATATGTATGATAAAACAGATAAAAATGAAGAGTGTAGAAATGGATGAAAATTTAAGCAAGAGTGAACAATGGATTTAGGTTTAAAAAAAATATATGACTGAGAATGCATGTGAGGAACATTTAATAATGGATAAAAGTTTCAGCTAGTCAGGTTTGATTTTTTTTTGCTAGCTCAGAAAATACATTTATCATTTTTTGCTATCATTTGATGTATATATATATATATATATATATATATATATATATATATATATATATATATATATATATATATATATACATATATATATATATTGAGAAGGCACATGGAAATAAAATAAAAATGTCTTTATCACAACCATGAATGGTTTAACTTAAACATATATTTTCAATTTTTCTTTTTCATTAAAAAAATTCATCACTGAAATATAAGAAAACAAAACTTTTAAAAAAAATTCCTGCTCCCGAAAAGTCAGAAGATTTTTAAAAAGCTATAACATGTCCTTGATCATTTAGTAATATTTTTTTTTCAAATAATTCCTAAACCATAAAATCCAGTCTCAGGAATAGCTATTGAATTATTATTTTTGATAAGGATATAATAATTCATAAACCATAAAATCCAGTCTCAGGAATGACAATTGAATTATAATTTTATTAGTTTTGATAAGGATACTATTATTTCAATTGCCTCTAATAACGGTCCAATTTATTTCACCATTAAAAATAATAACCTAATAAAAATCATTTTGAACTACAATAGGAAAGTAGAAAAGAAACCAGTAAGTTATTTTATATTGTCCAAAGTATCATCCTGGCAACATAAAAATTATAAATATATTTTTTCTAATGATATTTTTGGTTACAGATTACAGTGAGGTTACCTAATTCAAGGATTAACAACATAATATTTTTAAAATTATTATTATTAGATAATTTTTATATAGAATACTGATAAAGCAAATACTGATATTATAGCAACTCAAATAGAGATGCCAGAATGAAATAATGGTTGGCCCATGCGAATAATTTGCAAAGAATAGTGGTCAGTGAACAAATGACAAAATAATAAAGAAATTAAATAATTCAACATGAGAGAAAGAATCATTTCCAGTTTTTTTTTTTTCAGTAATTGTAGTCGACCAAGGAAAAAAAATGACCACAAAACTTCATTCCTGTTCTTAAGCAAAATGTTTACAAATTACAATAACCTGTTGCAGTTAATAATAGTCCAAATTCATTGATTTTTGTTTTGTTTTATAGTGAATTCAGTAATCTTTAAAATAAGCATGGGTACAATTAACAAACAAATGTATACTTTTTTAAGTTATTCTCTAATAAAGTTTTGTTTCCTTCATAACTTATCTTCCTAAAATTTGAGGGAGGTGTGACTATTTTATCCACCTGAATGAGATCTATAAAATGAGAGATCAACCATTAGATTTGATGAAGAATTGACGTAAATATAGCATGCCAACAATAAAACATCTTTGAGAAATAATATATAAAGATGTAAATTCAAGTTAAAGCAAAGCTTTTAACATTTTATTTAATTGTCTTACATAATATTTTTCAATAATATAGAAGACAGAAATTAAAAATAATTTCATCCAGAAATAGAAGAGCATAATCATAATCAATGATTACGATTACAGGAATCATGATTACTTGGTCTTGATTACAGATTTCCGATTACAATTTTATTCAGGTAATCGTGTGACATTTTTGTTATATTAATACTGGTATTAAATCAAGTAAAAAATTGGTGTAGTAATTAAGTTTTATTGTCAGTTGTAATCATTGATTCCGATTTTGCCCATCTCTGCATCAAGACAATTTATTTGTTTTATTAAATTTTAGGCCAACTCCAATTAATTCAGGAAATATGGTATGGTATATTGAGGTAAGGAAGGAAGATACAAAAAACTGTTGAATAGATGGTTGAGAATTCATTGCAAAATAAATAAAAAAACAATCATATTCTATCCTCCAAACAAATAGCCCTGATGAAAGCCTGAAACTTAGCCAAATAGAAAATAAATATAATTTATTTCTACTTCGATGAAATATTGAGAAGATATATGAAAATAAAATAAAAATGTCTTTGATTGCAATCACCAACCATCTTCTCTTCAACAATATCTTCCAACAGCTAACAATTCTACACAAATATAATATTTTATATCCTAAAAAAAAAATACATTGAAAAGGATGTGTATTGCTCAACTATTTTTCTCAATTAATAACAAAAATACACAAAATAAATACATAACTTTTCTAAATAATAAATATTTACATTATTATCTGAAAACTAGATATTTTCAGAGAAAAAAATACATTAAAATTTCTAAAGCTATTAAAATACTGGAATACACAACTGAGAATATTTCACATATGCCCGCCTGCATTTATGAAGTCTGCTATCTGAAAAAAAAAAGATAAAAATAAAAAAATTAATTTTGTTAATATACATCAATATACATTGTTAATATACATCAATATACATTGTTAATATACATATAAACATCAATCTCAATATTAGTTATTAAGATATAAACTAATTAAAATATATAGTAAAGGAAAGTATTCCGATCGTGAAAATTTTTAAAAATCATTTTTCAACAGAAATACACGTTATGATGTCCCATGACCAAATAAAATGTGTGTCTATGTGTGTACGTTAACAGTCTTAAAAACGAAAAGTCGTACAAAAGTGAAATTGCATATTTAAGATTTTTATATGATAGGGATGTTACAGTAACTTTTTCGTCAAAATCAGCTAACCA